CCGAGTACCCAACTGCTGGACAGTTTGATTCAGTACTATTTCGAGTCCCAAAGTCATGACATAGACTCCTGGATCCACGGGCCGACCTTTCGGATGAATGACGAAGCCCCCGATATGCTTGCCGCTCTGGCCGCTGCTGGAGCCGCTCGATCAACCATCCCGACCATCCGCAGGCTAGGTTATGCCTTGATGGAAATAGTGCGCCTCCAGATGTCGGTAAAGGTTCGTTGGTGTCTGTAACTCCTGGCGCGAAGAAACCAGCTAAAGGTGCTCACATGTAGTACGAGAGCGACAATAGCACCACACGCGATCTGCGCGCCTCGCAGACGTTTGCTCTGACCATTGATGTCGGAATATGGAGTGGCAACGCACGGAGGACGGAGATTGCAGAAAGCTTCCAGCAGCCTCTGGTCACGGTTTGTCGGTCTGAAGGACCTTTTGATACGAGTTCACTGACCTTCCTAATCATAGATGATGCGACGCGGCTTACGTTTTCGACGCTCGGTCTATTCCAACATCGCCCCGAGCCCCGACGACGATGGAGAGATTCTGGAGAAAAAGTGGCGGGATTGGGCTCATTCCGAATCATTCAACAGGTAATAGCTTGCCTGCAGCTGGACCAACTGGTTTACTGATTCGAGACAGACTCGTGCATCACATGTTTCTGCATGATGCCCAGTCGGCGATGATGTTGAACGTGAACCCAATTATTTCATACTCCGAGCTGGAACTTCCTCTGCCTGCTCCTCGCTCGTTGTGGGAGGCGAAATCTGCCAAAGACTGGAAGGAAGCGTACTTGGCGAGTGGACTGTCGAGCCGTGGCCGAACGCCCTCGTTGGTTGACACTCTACAAGACATGTCCCAGTTGTCGGCATTTCAGTCACAAATCGATCTTCAATTGTCCACCTTGGCCGTCATCCACGGTCTCTGTACGCTGATCAGCGAATACCATCGCCACAAATTTATAGCGAAAGGCCATTCCAAACATTGGAGTGCTTTGGTAATCAGTTCCCGACATCAAGAGTTGTCACAAGCACTACAACATCTACGCATGCTTTGTTTCGAGATGTCTAGCGCTCTCGGGCCCGGGATTGTGTTGGTCTTTGAGCTCATTTCCATGTTCCTCCACATGTCGCTGGAGGAACTACAGCTGTTCGCAGGCAAGGAGGATAAGAACGAAGCCCGTCGGGTATACCAGAGCGCGCTCGAGTGGATCGGCAGTATTGACTCGCGACGAGCGATCTGGCACGCCGGCCAAGTGATACGGGCGGCCAAAGTCATGCCTCCGGGGTCTTTGACTGGGTTCTTTGCGTTGGGGGTGTACTACGCTAGTCTCGCGTTTTGGTCCTACAGTGTCGTATCGAAAGCCAAAGATTCTCAAGCGGTCGTCGTCAGTCCGCCATCGGATCCGCACTTCCGCGGTCCCTGGCCTACAGTCTACCTGGACGGTGAGGAAACGACCGACGTGCAAAGGTTCATCTCTTTAGGGTGCGGCTGTCCGGCTTTGCAGACTCCAAGTGGTGCTGCTGTCATCACTGACCCTGGTCAGATCATGGATGCAATTCAGGGTCGTCTGCAAGGCGATGCTCACCATGATAATCTACCCCCATTGGTCCAGGGTCTTTGTCAGTTGATGTGCGATCTGGGCAATGCAGCGCGATCCAAGACTTATGTCTCTACATGAGATTAGTAGGTTTATTAGAGTACCTCTTTAATTTTTCTATTTCTTTGTTTGGGCAGTTTGTGGCTGCAGAAGTGTATGATATGAGATACCCAAGTATACAACAAGGTCAAATGATTAGTTTTGCTTTTTTCCTTTCAGCATCCGCCCCTGATGGGAAATGAACCTCATGGCCTGACCCCGGTCTGACGGAGTGATGGGCTAGATGTCCTTGGGCCAGCATCCCAGCGTGAGCAGCGATTCGGTCATCCACAAGAAAACTTTTTGTTTTTAGTTTCTGATCCGCTTATCTGATTGATAACCCGCCACTAATTGAGGGATTTCCTGAGTTTTCTTTCTCAGTTATCCGATCAAATCGATGCAACGTTTGTTGCTGGATGACAATCAGGATGGACAGGTCTTTCCGCATGCGGACGGCCTCACGACGAACCATCCGTCATCTCTCCTCTTGACTCTACAACTTTCTCAATTTCTTCAAGGGTGTCGGCTTCACTTTCTTCACTTTCATCATTTTCTCATCAGATAAGATGAATTCTGCCGACTAAGCTCCTGCTTGCTTGATCCAGGGCTTGCTGAGCATGATTAAGAGAGGTTTCCTTCTTGTTAAACTGACTCTGCAGCTGCATGAGCTTGCTTTGTTCTTCCTTAATCATCCAGATCTCCTCATTATTCAAACACTGTAGTTCCTAGACTATAGTAGATAGTATCTTATCCTTTTATCTTTCTATAGCATCTGTGACTTATGCTTTCCTCCCTCTTTGAGAAGCTCCTCCTAGAGAGATATGTTAGCATCCCCATCAGGTAGTGTTACTCTTATTAGGTTAAATATTCTGGTAACCTGTGAGTAAGCTAGCTAGGGTTTATCCCCTAGACCAGGAATACCGAATACTATATATAGTGTTAAAGTTCTATAAGTACTAAAATAACTAAATCATCCTAGAAAGGCACCTAATATATCTCCTCCCTGCATTAGAATAATAGGGTAAATACAGAATAGATAGGAAGCTCTCATCTTTAGGCAGAAAAATTAAAAAGATGGACTTGTTTCTATTCCTTCCCCAAATATTTAGATGCTAAAAAAGCCCCTAAGTTTATTAGGAGGTGCCTTATGAATAATCATCGGATTTTTCATAGGCAGATAATACGGAATGACGAGGATATCATCGCGTACAAGGCAGGTCTACATCCATGACTTGAATTACTACGATTCCATACTGTGAGCTCCAGGCTATTACAACGGACCGCTGACGTACAGGTTAAAATCAAGGTGAAGACAAAATGATAACCAAGGAGCCGATGTGAACTCCTCTTTGCAGTACTCCACAAACAAGTTTGGCTCATGCGGGACAACAAGGCTTGTTTGTGAAACAGAGGATCAGTAGTTCCCTTTTGTTGAGCAACTTAAGCTTGACTATTTCGGTATGTAAGCCAGCCCAGACTTCACTTTTGAACCCAATCTGGTGTTCCATTAAGAGTGCATTCTTAGCCGGGTGGCTGAAGTCAAACTCAGCCTACATTGACCAAGGTGGCGTTAAGCTACATACTTTCGTTGAATTCTGCTTGAGTCACGCAACCGCAGCCCTTAGAGAGATTTGGATAACCGCAACATCATGTATTCTCATAATTAGTATTTCTTCCTGGTGGTACGGAATAAGAGATAATATGCTGCTTCGTAATCTAAAGCTTTCCATTTGACGAACGCATTGCAGTATAACAGACGGCAATCACATCACTTGTTTCCCAGGAAGGCGTTGATCGCTACTATGTCGATCATAAACTCCGATACAACAGCGAACTGCGAGCGACCTTTGTTTTCAGACATATACACAGGGATAAAATAAAGATGTGTGGCTTCGGAAGCTGTCCCACATTCCAGCATTCCACGGCGTGGCTGCTGCGGCCCTCATCCCTTGGCCCGCGTCCCTCCATTGATACTCGATAAGAACAGCATCTCGACTCAAGCACTAGGTAACATAAACATTTGCTACAGTTAGGCAAGTAACCAGAGTCAATTACACAATAAGCTATGGTAGCATACGCGATTGTTGGTTATCAAGGAGGAATACAAAATGCAGGTCTGGATGTGCAGGGAGAAGCCGTAGCATAGCACCCCATGTTCGATCCTCTAGCACGACACTTCTCCGGTTCTTAATTTAGAGATCTGACATCAACTGGATACGCGTAATAATATCCAGCAGCCACGTGGAAGGAATCGGTTCATGTATGTTCCCGAGAATATGGCCTGGCACATTCCTGTACGTTCTCGGAATAGACAGTCTGTCGCTTGCATTATGCTCACTTCCTACGTGGTTGATATTTGAAATTATCTTGTAGCCAGCTTCAGACTAATTTCGCTGAGTATACGAAAACAGTCACCACAGGCCATGTCAGAATCGCCTGCGGAAGGTCAATATACTTGCCACTATTTGGATGTCGGGCAAGGGGCACGTCATGATATCCGTTTTCTACATCTTATGGACACAGAGAAGGTATAAAGATGGCTCGATGGCCATGACCTCGAGCTCATTCAATATCAACCATTTTTTCATAAGATCAATTGAGAATCAAGTTCCAATCTCCAGATATCCTCTCGCATCGTCCCTTATTACTCTCAGTCGCATACTCAGGTACTTTCACCTACTCAAACCATCCATCAGTCACTAAGACTTCCCAGACTACCCTCAAAATGCACTTCATCTACCAAGCCCTGTCCGCCCTGGCGGCCTCTCTCCTCTTCTCATCCGTCACCGCAGGGATCGCGCACTGCAAAGTCGGAGAGGCGTGGCCCGATACCTCCAACTGCCACAACTTCTACGAATGCGCGTCCGGAGGCGCCCCCGTCCTCAAGACCTGCGGCCCGGGTACTGCCTACTGCCCGACGACGGGTGTTTGTGTCCACGAGGAAACCGTCGCCAGCTGCTTCCACAGGGGTCATCACTCTGAGAAGGAATAGGTGTACTTGAGTTGCGCGTGTTTACTGCTATACTAGAAGATGTATAATCCATCACATTGGAGACTGGATTGCATCTGTTTCTGTTTTGGATTTCATACCATGTTGTGATAGAGGGAGATAGACTGGGTTGTGTTATTAGAACTGTTTTTGATGTTGAGGCTAATCATCGAGAATTCATGTCATTCATACATACATCCCAACATTCATCCCACCCTTTAGGCTTCTGGCCTGAAGATGTACCTTGCCCTGATCGCTTCTAAATAGATCTATAGAACTTCCATTGCGCAGCAGTTGGACTAACGTAGATATCGTGCAATATAACAGAATAACCAGCAAAATTGTAAGACTTATCAGACAGTATAGGCATTAACGGCGCACCTCATAACAACCGAATTTGTTCCCCTCTGGATCGCTGAACTTCATAAGCGAACCATACGCACTCTCCGTCGTCTTCGCCTGAATGACGCTTCCGCCTAGCTCGCTTACCCGTTTCTCCGTCTAACCTAGTCAGCATTTCTTCATCAAACAGGTAGATGAGCTGACCAATTCAAGAGACTCGACAATATAATAGACGGTCACACCGTGGGGCCCCGACTGCTCTGCTGCGGCTCCTGACCCATCCCGAGCCATTCTGACGATTGCACCAGCAAGTCCTACATCATCAGCTTCCAACATACATACGGAGGAGGAAATTACCTCTAGGTTCTGAGAATTTAAAGTGTCGCATCTGAGTCCCATCCTCAGTCGCTTCACCGTGTGCTGGTTCCCATTCCCACGATGGGAACAGAGACGCATAGAATGTCTGCTGTCATTAGAACCCGGCTTTCTCGTGTCTTATCGACTAACCTTGAGCTTCTCTACGTTCTGGGCGGGTATCTCGACGAAACAGGGGCTGCCTTCTGGGGGCGGATGCCATTGTTGCTTCGGTTGAGTGTTGAGTCTTTGGGTCGCCATGTATGCTCTTCGAAAATTCCGTACTTGGATATGGTAGGACTGTAGGTTCTGAACGGGACGAACACGGAGCATCTTTATTCTCAACATTTCCTGAAGTGTTTTGTTCTGTCTTGGCTTGGTTGCAGGGAATCTAAGCTTTATACATATGCCACTTCGTATTCGGCCTCGGGCCAGCCAATAGTTACATTGTTATTCTCCGGATGAGTCATTGCACTCGATGATGTCCGAATAGGTACAATGCATCATCAAGGAAAGAATGCTACTACCATTCCACAAGACGAACATTTATAATGATGCTGTAGTATGAATGTTACACTATCAGTGAATAGGAGCAAGTGAATCCCAAGTGCGGGGTTCTCAGTATATAACTTGGCACATCTTCTGCATTCATTACGACTCTTGTACAAAGTATCCAAGCTTCCAGCATACGTCTTAAATAGCAGATGTCAACATGCCTCGTACTCGTCCCCGACGACTCAACCACCTGCAAGGCATCAATGTGGACCAGATGGCCCAGATTGCCGACGCAGCCAGCAACGACTACCTCCGCCTCGAAAACCTAGACGTCAACATTCCGCCGGATCCAGAGGCTCTAGCTTACACGCAGCACGCCGTCACCGACGACGCATGTAACAGTTACCTCCCATTCACCGGCAAAGCCGGCCTGAAAGACGCCGTAGCCAGACACGTCTCGCAGCTGTCTGGCATGGCGTATTCAGGCGAGCGCAACTGCGTGATCGCCGTGGGCGGGCTATCCGGCATTCTGAACGTTCTACTGGCAACCATCGAGGAAGGCGACGAGGTGATATTAACGGATCCGACTTATCGGGGGCTCGTCAATCGGGTTTTGCTCGCTGGGGGCGTCCCCAAGCTTGTGCCCTTTACATTCCAGCCAGGGAAGGAGTGGAGGTTAGACCAGGCCGCACTACGGGCGGCTATTACTGATAAAACTACGGCGATGCTGCTCATGTCGCCGTCCATGCCAAGCGGGGGCTACTTTACTCTAGAGGACTGGGCTCTTGTTGCCGAGATTTGTGTGCAGAATGACCTGCTTCTCATTCTGGATGCTGCGATGGAACGCCTGGTCTTTGATGCGCGGCCGGTGATTCACCCTGCTAGTTTACCTGGCATGTTCGAGCGGACTGTTACTGTAGGCTCGTCCGCGAAAGAGCTGCGGATGATCGGCTGGCGTGTTGGCTGGATCGTGGGACCAGAGGACCTCATCAGCGACATTGCGGCTGTGTCTATGGCCAATGTCGTTGTGCCCGTGGGGATCGCCCAGGAAGCCGTGGCTGTTGCGCTGAGCAGGTCATCAGAGACCATGGCGCCGTATGTGGCTGAACTACAAGCGCGACGGGATCTTGTCGTCGCGGAACTCGATGGATTACCCATTGGGGTCCCCGCGGGCGGATGGAGCCTGCTTCTCCGGGTGAGCGATTTCGGGCTGGACGGGAGCAATGCGGCGAAGCGGTTGCTGGAACAGGGTGTGTGCGCAACTGCAATGGATGGATGGGGAGAGGTGCACGGGAGCCAGTATATCCGGTTTGTGTTCTCCAATGAGACTATTGAGAGGCTGAAGGGGCTGGGTGTCAAAGTGAAGAAGGCATTGGGTATTCCCAGTGATTGAACCGCGGCTCATCCGGAAGGGCAAGAGTTAGACTGTTTTTTCCCAGAATAACTCTGATAAAGTTTGGCTGGCGGGCATGTAAGCTCTCTCCAGTGTTAATTCCGTACACAATGTCATCAACGGATTTACGGAGTATACGTCTTATTTCCGCAGTGACTGATGTCACTGCAATCAGACTTCCCGTCACATTCCACATATAAAAGGACACTAGTGTACTGCCCGTCATGACAATAACAATCGCATTGAAGCCTCTCAATTCGTACAATCGTCATGCCTACCCTTCCAACTCGTCCCCTGGGCAAAAACGGCCCTCAAGTCCCCCGACTCGGCTTCGGCTTAATGGGCCTGAGTACCTTCTACGGCACCGCCAAACCCGACCCTGAGCGACTCGCCCTGCTCGATGCTGCATATGAGCTGGGCGAAATATTCTGGGACAGCGGTATGTACCTCACCCAGTTCCGATGAATCTCACTAATGGAATCCAGCCGACATGTACGGCGACAGCGAGGACCTCCTCGGCAAGTGGTTCAAAGCCAACCCCTCCAAACGAGACCACATCTTCCTCGCAACCAAATTTGCGAACGGCATGACACCAGACGGACAACGCTTCGTCGATTCCTCACCCGAATACGCCCGCGAAGCATGCGATCGCTCCCTCGCCCGTCTCGGCGTCAAAACCATCGACCTCTACTACTGCCACCGGCTCGACCGCAAGACCCCCATCGAGAAGACCATCGAGGCCATGGCACAGCTCAAGGCAGAAGGCAAAATCAAATACCTAGGTCTGAGCGAGTGTAGCGCAGACTCCCTGCGGCGCGCGCACAAGGTCCACCCCATCACCGCCGTGCAGATGGAATACTCGCCCTTTGCACTGGAGATCGAGAGCCCGCAGTACCGACTTCTCGAGACGGCGCGCGAGCTCGGCGTCGCGGTTGTGGCGTACTCGCCGCTGAGCCGGGGGTTCTTGACTGGGGCTATCACCTCGGCGGATGATTTCGAGGAGGGCGATTTCCGCCGGATGTCGCCGCGGTTTAGCAAGGAGAACTTCCCGAAGAATTTGGAGCTGGTTGAGAAGCTTAAGGCCGTTGCGGCGAAGAAGGGGGTCACGCCGTCGCAGTTGACGTTGGCTTGGTTGATGGCGCAGGGGGACGATATCTTTCCTATTCCGGGGACGACCAAGGTTGAGCGGTTGAAGGAGAATCTGGGCAGCTTGAGCGTTGAGTTGTCTCCGGAAGAAGAAAAGGAGGTTCGGTCGGCATGCAATGCGGCAGAGGTTGCTGGCGCTCGGTATCCTGAGAATTTTTCAGCGTCATGTTTTGCGGACACCCCTGCTCTATAATGTCACCATAAGTATATACATGTTAAATGAGCTAGCCCCGCATTTCGATTTCAAATAACTATATATATAACGTTAAACGCGGGCTATTGAAATTGCAGCCAATCGCATTCTGCATGTCTACAGGCATACCAAGTATGTGTATGGGATGTTTGTGCAACGATATATCTTCCACGTATCGTATACTTTCCAGTTCGTACACCGTAACATTTGATTCTCCCTAGTAGCTTTAAAAGAGCTGGTACTAGCCTTATAGTCTATCGCAGCCAAAACACTCAACACCGATATTTTAGACAACCGTACCAGCTGCCTAATCCTCGATAGATGGGGTAGAAGACACTTGTCATGCGGTCATGCCTGAGAACACAACATGACACATAGACATCGACGCATGGACCCTGTCTCTAGTTCGTGGTTTTTTTATCAAGTAGCGTAACAGGACCAAAGCCACTCATAGCATATCAGGGGCCTCAGGGCAACGATCTTAGTAACTACTGGTTCGGGATCTCCCCGGTTGGCGGCGAGCGCCGTCGGGATGACAAGATGTGGGGCGTGGAAAGCGAATGAACAGCTCAACAAGAGAAAAGTGGGTAACGTATTTCACAAGCGAGCGTGACACACAAGCGAGCGTGACACCTAACGCGTTTTGGACGGGACCAAAAATCTCATCTAATTCAACTACGAACCATGCCTCCAAAAGCACGTCAAAATTTAAATAACTCTATTGAGAAAGAGGGGAGGGTCCTACTTGCAATATTAGCTATTCAAAAGCAAGAAATTCGCAGTATTCGTGAAGCTGCATGTGTTTTCGATATCTGCCATGAAACTCTACGTCGACGACTTAATGGAAGAACTTCACGCTCAGAAATACGCGCCAATAGTCATAAACTGACTCAAAATGAAGAGGAATCGCTTATACAATGGATTCTTTTGCTAGATTGACGTGGAGCAGCCCCCCGACCGTCCCATATATGAGAAATGGCTAATATTCTTCTTGCTGAGCGCGGTACGACACCTACTCAATCAGTTGGAGAGAATTAGGTTACCAACTTCATTAAACGACGTGATGAAGTGAAAACACGCTATACTCGATGCTACGATTATCGACGAGCAAAATGCGAAGACCCTAAAGTGATTAAGGAGTGGTTTGACCGCGTACTTATCACTATAATGCAACATGGGATTGCACAAGAAGATATCTATAATTTTGATGAAACTGGCTTCGCTATGGGCCTAGTAGCTACTGCACGAGTAGTTACTAGAGCTGATTACTATGGGAAGGCCTCTCTCATACAGCCAGGCAATCGGGAATGGGTTACTTCAATCGAGTGTATCAACTCTACTGGTTGGGCGCTTCCTCCATACATTATCTTTAAAGGAAAGGTCCATATAGAGGGTTGGTATCAAGATTTTAAGCTCCCACGCGATAGCAGGATTGAAGTTAGTCCTAATGGATGGACTACTGATGAGATAGGCCTTCGCTGGCTTAAAAATCTCTTTATTCCTGCTACTTCTAGTCGGACGACTGGGAAATACTGTCTTCTAGTTCTTGACGGCCATGGCAGCCATCTTACGCCTCAATTTGATCAACTATGCAGTGAGAATAATATTATTCCTATCTGCATGCCAGCTCATTCTTCCCACAAGCTTCAACCTCTGGATGTGGGCTGCTTCGCGCCTTTAAAAAGGCGTATGGGAGCTTAGTGGAGCAGAAAGCGCGCTTAGGAATCAATTATATTGATAAACTTGATTTCCTAAAGGCCTTTCCACAAGCTCGCGAAAGCGCTTTTCAAGCAGAAACTATTTGAAATAGCTTCGCAGGCGCTGGCCTAGTTCCATTCAATCCAGATAGGGTGCTCAGTCAGTTGGAGATCCAACTAAAGACCCCTACACCACCAGGCAGTCGATCAACCAATTTAGCGCCTAAAACGCCCTATACTATTAGGCAGCTAGAGAAGCAGGCATCTGCTACAAAGAAACTACTTAGGGAACGCGCTCACAGCCCTTTACCTTTACTAGAATCGCGATTAGACAAGATTATTAAAGGTCATGAATTGACGCTTAATGAGCTTGTTCTTGCGCGGGAAGAAATACGCAGATCTCGCGCCGAGAATGAATAGAAAGGTCAAAAGCGAAAGCGCTCTACTAGGCAGCTAGCTATTGCAGAGGGCCCAGCTATTCAGGAGGGCTTAGAGCTATTCCAGCATGAGAATAAGGTGGATAAAGGTCAAGATGCGCTTCCTATAGATCCTGCACTTTCTGCAGTTGGGCCGCGCGTACGAGCGCCACCGCGCTGCAGCGATTGTCATATTCTAGGACATAAGTGATTGCAATGTCCTAATCGAGTTCCTAATTAATTTTTAGATAGAAATGCAATTGTTTGGTTGATAGAGGCTCTAGTATTTAGCCCATAGGCAGGAATTGGCGGGCGGTCTCACGCTCGCTTGTGTGTCACGCTCGCTTGTGAGATACGTTATAGATCAGCTAGAGTCAATTTCTGCTAGAGACTTGTTGCAAACATATCCTATTTGGGTCATCCTCTTAACCTTCTCCCCGTTTTCTCTTGTTCAAGGATCGGCCGGGTATCAGAAATCCGAGGTGATCCAAACCTAATTGCTGATTTGGATAAACATTATATGCACTAGATAGCCACTTAATTGGGAAGAATTGGGTCTTCATTGGCTTTGCCCATTTTATACGTGGACTAGTGATTACCGAAGTCTGATGTATTGAGGATTTCAACACACAGGAAGAGATGAGAATATGGCTGCTGCCGAAAAACAACCAAACAGCCTGTACAGGCCCCGTATCCAGACAGAAGGACAATATTCTAATGATTCCATTGACGAAAAGTTCCCCGAGGGGGGCCTGCGGGCCTGGCTGGTAGTAGTCGGATCATGGTGTGCAATGATTCCATCAATGGGTCTTTTGAATACGATAGGTGTGCTGCATGCATGGACAGCGGAGCATCAACTCGCCCAATACTCTCCCTCGAGCGTTGGGTGGATATTTGGTGTGTTCAGTTTCTTCTTGTACTTTGGCAGTGCCCAAGTCGGTATGTAGGCCCTGCCTCGCGTTCGATCCCTTCTAATGATTACAGGCCCCATCTTTGACAGCCGCGGCGTCCTTCCAGTTGTCTTGCCAGGATCTATTGGCATTGTGTTGGCCGTTTTCTTCTTCAGCGAGAGTACCGGTACGTCCTTTATGTTCCCTCTCTCCTGTCTAGTATGCAGGCAGGCTGACAACGACAGAATACTACCAAATCTTCCTTTCCTTCAGTGTCCTCGGCGGCATATCCTCCTGTTGTCTCTTTACTCCAGCCATCGCAGCCGTCGGCCACTGGTTCAATGTTCGTCGCGGTCTGGCTACAGGGATAGCCTGCACAGCAGGCGGACTAGGCGGAGTCTTCTTCCCCTTGATCATTCTCTACCTCGGCCCTACGCTTGGATTCACCTGGGCTCTACGGATCATTGGAATCATCTGCTTCGTGCTGTGCGCACTTGCCTGTCTTTTACTTCGCACACGACTCCCGCCCAACCATCAAGCCGGAATGGCGGTTGACTTCAAAGCCCTCCGCGAGCCCAAGTACGCAGTCACCACGCTGGCAGTCTGGCTGGTGGAGTTCGCCGTCTTCATACCGTACACCTACATCTCCTCGTACGGACTCCACGCCGGCATGGACTCGTCTCTCGCATACAAGCTAAGCGTTTTCCTGAACGTCGGCGCGATCCCCGGCCGCGCCTTGCCAGGGTTGCTCGCTGACCGCGTCGGCCGGTTCAACATCATGTCATTGACGGCGCTAGTATGCGCCGTATTGACCCTGGCGCTGTGGTATACCGCCGGTGATAATGACGGCGCCATCATCGCCTACGCGACATGCTTCGGGTTCTGGAGCGGCGCGGCGATTAGTTTAACCCCGGTGTGTATCTCCCAGGTCTGCCGGACGGAGGACTATGGGAAGCGCAATGGGACGACCTTCACGCTGGTGAGTATAGGGACGTTGACGGCGATTCCTATCGCGGGTGCGATCCAGGAGTATAACCATGGGGAGTACTGGGGGTTGATTGTGTTTGGAGGGGTGTTGTATCTGGCGTCTTTTGTGGCGTTTGTGATTGCCAGGGGTGTTGCCGGGGGTTGGCAACTGAAAACGAAGTTTTGAGCTTCCTTGATGTGTTGGTAGAGGCTAGAAAAAACTGCATCATCTGTGCCTTGACACAATAGCTCCAACTTCCTAATCGGGCAGGCTTCTAGAAGTATTCCATACTGAGACATTACTAACCTGATACAGCTAATGCCAAGCCCCTGTAATCTGAATAGACCAATCAGAACGAAGCTGTGTGGGTTGTCGAGGCTCCGCATGAGCTTGTTCAAGGTAGGAATTGTATCGGATGGCCGTCAGTAGAAGAAGTAAGGGATAGAAGTTATGTATATTGTATTTCTGTGGTATGCGAATGACGATCTCCTCCATCTGATCAAGGCTTAAACCTTTTGATCTGCGGGATCCCCCCGCGTAGACGGAAGCTGGAATGAGGCGGTGCAATCCTTCAGGGCCCTTTGACGCGGATCGCCCGGAGGAATTATCCAACAGACACTTCCTCTAACCTACACCATGTATGACAGACAATAGGCCCCATGAGACGCAAAACACTGCGCTCTGTCTTCCACCTCACCGTTCTGAGCGGTATCTTCCTCCTCCTCTTCCTCAACCGCCCAACCTCCCGCATCAAAACCTTCCCATGGACACACATCCGCTACAAATCCTCATCCCCCATCCCGCCGTCCCGTGGAAAATGCCCCGGCCTGAGAAAAACCACCAAACCAGCCCTGGTGGTCTCGCGCGTCACAGCAGACGGTGACCCCTCCTGGCTCGACCCCCTCTCCAACATCTACCACCTCTGCATCTACACCGTCGACAGTCCCAACCCCACCGCATCCACGCTCCAAGTCCCCGCAAACCGCGGCCACGAGGCAATGGCCTACCTCACCTTCCTGATAGACAACTACGAGTCCATCCCCGCCGCAGGCGCCGTCTTCGTACACGGCTCCCGCTTCGCCTGGCACAACGATCACCCGGCCTACGATAACGCCGCGCTCCTCGCCTCGCTCAACATCCCCGCTGCGCTGGAACCACACGGGTACCATAATCTCCGCTGCGACTGGAGCGTGAGCACGTGCGCCGCGTCGGCCGCGCCGCAGGGCAGTCTGGAGAATCGGGTACAGTCTGTGCTGGAGCCGTGGAGTGCGCGCGCGGCGTCGGATACGGCGCTGCCGGCGGCGCTGGGGTTGTTGTTTGGTGGGGATGAGCGGGAGGGGTATCTTGCTGCGACGCTCGGGCAGAACGATGCGGTGCGGTCGCAGTGCTGTGCGCAGTTTGTTGTCGCGAGGGAGAATATCTGGCGGCATTCGCGGGGGGAGTATGTTGCGTTGCGGCAGTGGTTGCTTGATGGGATGGGGGCTGGTTCTTCGCGGCGAAGGGGAGCGGCCCCGCCGGATGATAGGGTTGCTGGGCGGATTTTGTCATATATATGGCATATTCTGTTTATTGCCCCGGAGCATCTGGGGACAGGGGCTGGGGATGGGGTGGATTTGGGGCGGTTGAATGAGCAGGCGTGCCCGAAGGCCGATGAGTGTTATTGTCGGTTGTACGGACGGTGTGATTTGCGATGTACAAGTCCAGGGAGTTGTCAGGGGGCGTATACTTTGCCCAAGGATTTGAAGTTACCGGCCAACTGGGCAGAAACCCATTCACATCTTAAATGAGAGAAACGCATGTATATAATGACAAACGCAACGCTAACTATACGCCATCGTGCTTGACATCAACAGCCGTACTAACAGCCTCATCCATCGCTCGCTCTCTCCCCGTAGCATCATGTTCGGCATCCCAAGCCTTCAACTGCTCCTTCGGAACCTTGACCAATTTATGCGCTGTCGCCCCATCCTCCATCTGCAGGACAATCTGCCGGAACGCATACCCGCCAAGCCGCGGTAACACCTTGATATAGACGTAGTAATACACCCCACAGAGCCCAATACTACACAATCAGCTTTGCACGCGGCACGACAGAGGAGAACTTACATTCCCAACCCCACGACGCAGTACGTCGCATACCAGAAACTCACATCCCCTCCGTTCGCCCCCGTCGTGGGCGGATACCACGGCGCAACTACCATATACAGATTCGAGAGGATGGAGAAGCCGACGACCACGTCCCACGCCTTGTACCCAGAGGGTGGAATGTTGTGCCGTTTACGGTGACGACGGGTGAGCAATAGTCCAATGGCGAGGAATAAGGCGAACGCGTTGGTGGGGTAGACGCCCAGGTCGACGACTGCGACGTCAGTATAGACTTGATATTTGGGGAAAGGAACGCACCAAAATTGAAGGCGTCACCGGCTGGCGGAGCTAGAATCATGAGGACGGTCAAGGCCCATTTCAGCGCGTAGGGGCCAAGCGGCGTGCCGAATGGACGAGTCGAGGTCCAGAACTTGGTGAACGGGAGGACTCCTTGTCTGGTCTCGTTAGTAACGGCGATGCTTCAGCCCATGGCTTAGAGTTACCTTCCGCATTCTCGGAGGAGACGGGACTGCCCGATGAGAACGGCAAGCAGGTTCCCGAATGCGCTGAGACAGATCAAAAAGTTCAGGGCTCGTGACGCACTGCTCGTGCCGAAGACTTTCTGGAAGAAGATACTCGCCGCTACGACCTTTGAGCCAAGGATCTCTTCCTTTGTTGCGGCGGAGAAATAGGCGATGTTGGCAAGCATGTACAGGGTTGCTACTAGCAGGAGGGAGAGCGGCGCGCTCCATCGCAACGTTTTGACTGGATTCTGCTGATATGAGTATCGCATAACTGAAGAACAAAGCATGTCCTACCTTGACTTCATTCACCACGTTGAACGCATTTTCGAATCCCGCGTACGAGAAGGCTACCTTGACCAGTGCGTTTGTGGCACCATACACCGAGGCAGAGGAGCTACCCGCAAAGGCATCGCGAAAATTGGCCTTGGGATCTTCGATCTTGGTGTGTCCCCCAAGGACAACTAAGCCGGTGATACCGATGCTAATCCGTGAGCTTTGTTCTTTTATGGAATCGACAAACATACAAGATTAATGTAACTAGCTTGACGAAGCCAATGGCATTGGCGAAACGTAGCGACCATTTCGTGTTGAATGCCAGAACTATATCGTTAGTATCCTTACTGCAATAAGATATGCGATCTCACCTAGCACTGCCACGCTATACGAAGCGACAGCAACACCCTTGAGCTTCCACGGTGTGGACTGCGCCTCCGCAAGTCGAAAAAGATACTGCGCGAGGACTGATCGGTCAGATATACCCGGTATTCGCATTGAAGCACATACCAATCGCATTACTACTGCTAAATGAGAACAACACCGATTGCATTGCAAAAACAGTCGGAAGGAAGTACTTTGGTCGCGGATACGCCTGTTCGAGATAAACTACCTCTGAGCCGGACCGACTGGGGAAATAGGACGAAAACTCCAGGTAGACGGCCAGTGAGCTGCCGGCCATGAGGAATCCAATGACCCAGTAGAACAATGCCAGGCCAACGGACCCGGCGCCTTTGAGGACAGTTGATGCTGTGGCTGTCAATGCTGGGAATTGGATCACACGGGACGGAGAACATACGGGTGGAAAAGACACCGGTTCCGATCATCTTGCTGAGATTGAGAAAGATGACAGTAATCCAACCAACCGAGTATCCCAACGGTGAATTGATTTCGACCGGCGCACCGCTGGCTTCTTGGTACGTTGGCACAGAGGAGTTGGCCCCGGCTTGAGCAGTGTATTGCAGGTCACCACTGCTGAAGCTCGAAGCATCAGACTGATCATTTTGCTCGGACTTGGATTGGAACCCCATTGTGGATGGATTAGAACTAGAAGGCAGATCAGTGAGTGCTATTCAGCACATGCAGTAGGAGGTCAAGTATTTATCCCTTGATAAGTGTAACCTGAAGGTGCTCATCACCTGGCACAATGACGTGATGCTGTCCTACCGAAGTTGATAAAACTTCAACGAACTCAAAAGACGTTCGGACGGCCCATCTGACATTGGCAGAGGATCTAGACTGTCAAGTAGACTATTCTTGTGTCTGTGAAGTTTGTCTTGATATCCGCCCGATGTTTGTTGGTCCGCTTGGTAGCCCTCGGCAATGCGACCTAAATGTCGATTATCAGTTGAATGATATCAATTGCACAGAATGCTGAGCATTTCCACTTGGCATTTACTCGGAAGACTCCAATAGAAACAAGATACTTATTCGCCAAGGGATGGCATGATTGCAGGGGATGATGGTAGCATGAGGGGTCTACCACTAGGACAATGTCGCAATCCGCACCATCTTCTAGCATCAAGGCATCGATATTAGCACGATTGTCAATCTGGGTTGCAAACAAAAGGTACGAAGCCTAAGGGGAATTAAGCCCATCGCGTGAAACTGATACTTTCAGAATATAAGTTTGGGAACAGATAAACTGACATTGAACTATACACTAACACCACATATATATTAACAAAACTCTGGCAATGGCAAGCCAATCAAGGGAACAGGAGACACGGATAGAAGCACACAAGGTCCGACAGGAACAGATATAAGGTAGAGCGGCCTATGCAGTTAAATAAGAAGAGTTCCAACGGAACCGACCCGTTGCCCGGTTCTTGCGTCCTAGAGCTCTGGGTTGGGGCTGCCTGGAGGCAAGCGCCGTTCATGTGGGCTTGCCAGAGCGACAGGAACACTCCTCTGAGTTCTGGAGTACTGAACATACAGATGGCCTTCATAATCATAGAGTGGTACGGATCGGCCCATGTAGACAGTTATATGTGAATCGGTACGAGTGTAACGGCGTCCTCCACGACTTCGTGTTCTTGTTGTCCTATGATCGATTGATCTATTCCTTATATCGGACCGCGGCCCTTGATAGGTCGAGAATTGGAACTGGCAGCTTTGAATGCCAATCTTACCTTACCTAGACAATAGTTGAACTAGTTGACTCTGCAGGCTTCGCGACAAACATGCTCGATACCCGCAGCTCGCCCTTCAAAACTCCGTGGCACTTCACAGAACCAAAGTATTTGTAGCGTCAGATACTCTATTTAGCTCGGTTGCTTAAAGATCAAGTAGAGTAGCGGAAGCTATCAGGGGCAGTTTATTAGAAAAGAACAGTGTTCAAACGCACCAAAGTATCAGACTGTGTGCCCCTTCCAATCTATCGTCTGATTTCACGGTCTGGAACTCGTGCCATGTTCAACAAGGTAGCAATAACTGTAATGTATAGGAAAAAGAGAACGCAGAGACATTGCACGCTGCTGATGTGCTACATTATAATACCCTCTACTCTGGAGAGCATGCTCTATTTGTATGTCCCATAATCCCATGTCTACAACAATGGCATCATGACAAGGCCTGTCCTCACAATCCGCCCGATTTCGAGCAATTCAAAAGTTCTGTCATTCATTGGAGAATACAGTGAAGAGGGCGAAATAAGCACGCGCGTGACAGATAGATGGTTTCATAGCCGGCGGTTATCTCGGTCCTGACTTTGCAATAGAGCCCTCATAGCCTATATGAGCCTTGCCGCTCAACCAGCCATCTAGATTTAGTAGACGAGGGTGTTAGTGCAAGCAAAGGTTTGATACACACTGCTTGGCCTGCGGTACAGAAGCGCTAAGTCTAACCGTCTCACAAACAAGGGTCATTATTTGTGTCTTGAATGTAGCCGCTGTCAATGACAAAAGTCCTGCCAGGTACGATCCCCTTATGCTGGCCTCGACCAATACTGAGGTACTAAAGCGCGCATCCTAGCAAGATAAATCGACCGGTTAATCTAATTGAATGGTGTACCGATTCATTCTATACCACCGGTCCCAAGTTAGTCTGCGTGGTCGCCTATCAGTTATCCTCCACCATTGCCCAGCGGCCCCCGCCCCTCCACTTCTCGTCGAACAACTTTTCAACGTCGCCAGTGTATGTCCTTTTTACTGTGGTAGACATATAGGAGTTCGTGGATTCGAATTTAAACGTCCGGCTTTCTACGTCTCTCTGAGATCCGTGCCTAATACACTCAACGATCCAGAAGATCCAGCGCTCACAATGTCGGATCACGAGGACTACGCGCCTGAATCGCTCCCTGAATCTCCTGTCTTATCCCAGTCAGGGGAAGAGTTTGATGAGCGTCCATTCAATGGTTTGTACATCGATATGGCCCCATTCGGGCTGGAGAAAATCTGGGATTACGAGCCTGGTGGTCATCATGTTGTTCAGCTTGGCGATCATCTAGGTCGAGAAGGTGAATACCGAGTCATCCACAAGCTAGGCAGTGGGGGATTCGCCAACGTTTGGCTGTGTCAGATCCTGCGCAATGGGATACCCCATTATGTGTCGCTAAAGATTCTTATGGCCGATTACTCTAAAGACGACTGCCCGGAGCTTCGAGTGGAACGACTTCGAGCAGTCGGGTTAGAATAGCACATCTGCCTCCCGTCCGACCAATTTCGAATTGAGGGCCCAAACGGGTCACACCTTTGCTTCGTGTATCCTGTGGCGGGACCGCGTGTCTCTCTTATAGCTCAACAATTTGAAGACCCGGACAGAAGCTTGCGGAAAATGGCTCGACAAGCTACAGAGGTGATGTCCGCATTGCATAGTCATGGCATGTCACGGAGGTAAGTTCCCGAAGTTCCCACAAGCCACACTGCATGGTTGGAACTGACTGGCAGCAGACTTCACGCCGTCAAACATTCTCCTGAAAGTTGAGGGCCTGGACGGATTAACAGAGGATGAAGTACTCAAAATCCTGGGAGAACCCGTTAAGGTAGAAGTTTTCACTGAGTCAGGGGAGACTCCCTCTGATCCAACCGCGCCTAAATATCTCGTCCGCCCGGTCAAGTTTCGCAATGTTCCGCTGCCGTACGTTGTAGATGAGATTCTTCTGATCGACTTCGGGGAGTCTTACGATGTCACAAACCCACCGGAGGAGCTTGGTGTCCCTGGGAGTTATCGTCCCCCCGAGCTTGTCTTAGAGAATACACCAGGATTCGGAAGCGACCTCTGGGCACTCGGCTGCACCCTCTTCGAGATACGAACAGGCAGAAAACTCTTCGACATGTTTGACGACGATGACGACTGTCACCTCTTTCACATGGTTGAGATGCTTGGCGCACTGCCAAAGCCGTGGTGGTCTGAGACTTGGAAGTATAGAAAGGAGTTCTTCAAAGATGAAACGGACTCACTTGGTCGAGCGGTCCTGGTTGACGCGTTGGCCAAGGAACAATGGGACCTGTTGGTCGAGCGTCCGTCGATAGAATTGGCGCTACGACGAGGATTGCATTATTGGGACTTGGGGCCAGGCGAAGAGATTAGCAGAGAGATTCCCCCGGATGAGATTGAACAATTGGCGGACCTCTTGAAGAAGATTTTACAATATGAGCCCAGCCAGCGGTTGACTGCGGCAGAGGTTCTAGAACAAGAATGGTTTCGTCTTGATGAGAATTGAAGGCATGTTCACTTGCGATTGCCAGCATTGTTGCTCCCTTGAGGAGATTCGCATGTATCCTTATTCTTGTACCACGGTTGATAGCGAGGTCGACATTTCAGTGAGCTGTCAGTGCGGTATCTGTCATAGCACCGTTTATACCTGAGCGTAAGATTTCCTATAAATCATGGATTCTTGAGGACTGATTTACGAGCTCGGGATGCCGCGATGTATGCAGGGTAATTGTATATTAGATTAGCTTATACAAATTCGAATTAAACCTGTCTCACAAGCTTGATTCTAGGCCATCTGCTCTGGCCTTTCATCTCTTCGGGCAGTCCAGCTTCAGAACTACCTATGGTAAAGATGAGAAGATGAGCTAGCCATAAGGAATATTGCTCAAAGACAGCATTAAACCTCTTGCCCTCTAGACTTCACTACTGAAAGTGGGACCTCTGGGGTGTACAACGTTGTGGCGATAAATCTACATCCCCAGATAGTCAGACATTCATTGCGCCTTAGTAGGGTGTGTCTGTCTAGAGCAGGACCGGTTAAGGGAGGAGAAGCAACATGATGGCTACTAGCAATATTAATGAAAGCAATTCCTCTATATTTGTTTGAATTGACCTGTAGCCAGAACAAGGAGTAATACAAAGCTGGGCTTGTCGAATAATCCATGGGATGCTACAGGAGCATTATCTTCACATCTGACGTGATAAAAGCCAGCGCTCCACACTATCAAGTAAACTATTCACCTTAAAGAAGAGGGATTTCACTTGCAACCGAAGGATCATTCACTTTTTTTTTGCATTCTTCCAGAATTAGCCGCCGACTGCAATAATAGGGAATGACCCTCCCCAAAACCTGACCTTCTTCACTCTCTCATAGAAACCACCCCTCCCCACTCTATAGCATTCATTACCCGTACCTCAGAACTATGCCTGATCTTGCTTGTATTGAGGCAAAACTGTCCTTTACGACCCTGATATCCACAGACCTCACTATTTAAGTCTCTGCAAACCTGAAAATGCTCGCAGTCCTTGATTTGATGTTCGCAGCAACTCGGGCCCTCTCTGCCAACTTACACAGCAAAAGAGGCGCCTCGACTGGCGCGTCATACGCCGTCGATTTTGCAGTCTAATGCTTCGGCGAATACTATCGAGCTGCAAATAATAAATCCGACACAATGGCTGCGGCCTTTGCGAAGATCTCTGAACGAGGCGACCATGGCTTCTCAATTTTCTCGTGACGAACGACTGAGGGTTCGCAAAATATGATAAACCTAATTGGCAGAAGCATACTATCTCATAGCAGATACCGTCAAACTGTGATACCCCTTCCGCATCCTGCGGGAGAGGGCTCTCATGGAGGAAGCCAGAGGCCGGCGCACTTCCTGCTTGTGCGTTGGTCAATCGCCATGTGGACAAGCAGTAAGTGATGCCTGTTCCAATCATTAGCATATTCATATTGATTTTCAATCAATCAAGGAACGGAGGGCGGTATAAAGGTGTTATTTGTGCAGAAATTGGTCTTCCGCCGAGGGAGTTTATCCTCGGGCTCATACGGGAACTCGGGTTCGTGAACTGGCTATACGCCAAACATACTGACTACCTGGTGAACAGAAATGTGATGACCGTGGGAATATCGAAGGTCTGGAAAGCGACCTTACGGAACAGAACGGGAAAGACGAGGAGGAAAAATTCAGCTGGTGGTTCAAGTTCAAGCAAGCCTCCGAGGTGACGCAAAAGCGGTTCATGATGCTGGGTATTTCACGCCGTCATCGCACAATCAAAGAAACACAGCCTAAGTACAACATCTTTCCGGGTGAGACACCATGTCAACTCTGCTGATATACAAAGTGAAGATGACGTGTATGCCACCTCAACCTATTCTTAGCACTCAGTCAGTTTATCACGCCCGGCACCTTACGATCTGCCACATACATAGACCAGACAGAGCTTAAATGGTCCATATCTACGACTGTCATCGGAAGCTCATACAGCAGGAGACAGGGCACTCACAGTATCTCATGCAACTTCACGGTTGATGGAGTACTGCCTCCGATATACGGACTTGGATTGGAGCGCTGGCGAACATCGTGCCCGGTCCCATAATATTCAACATCAAACCCGTCGTTGCAAAGCCCAGATAGTTATCCACCGCAAGCGTGCAGCCAGAACTGCCAAAACTACCCTTCGCTTAACCTGATGAAATACCAACATGACAAGAAACCGATGCCCGTTACGAAAATAGGCATGATGGAGACCTTGGGTCTAGCTCCTGGGGTGATTGTTATTGATGATATGCATAAAGATGTGTCTCCCAACGGCATATAGATTCAATAGGTCCAACGAGCTGGCAATTGTCGACCTGATATCGCTGTACCTCCAATCCGAGATGGGAGTGGGGGGTGAGTTGTCCTGGCGGGTGCCAAATCGCTCACAAATGAAAGCATATCAAACAGTCCCCATTTTCTATCGTCTCCTACACGATCCTTGCTTTAATGAGCATCTTTGAACGCGATGTATGTATTATTAAACAAATATCGCGGACCAGACCTGTTATTTATATCGGGGAAATGCCGAGGATCCACTATCTTAAAATAGCCTCGGCCCCTGGATCTGGACTTAAATGATTATCAAACAGCCCACCTCCATGACTCACTTTATCCCAGATCACTCCGTAAACCATCTCATCTTCAGCGTCGCCTCCATTCCATCTAACAAGATCCCCAAGACTACGCAGTACAATGACCAACCTCGTGATCCTCGACTTCGACGGCACAATCTTTGACACCCGCGAAGCAATCCAACACGCCGCAACCCTAACCTTCACCACCCTCCTCCCTACCCACGAAATCCCCTATGCCAAAGCCCGAAGGCTGATGGCCACCGGCGCCGGGCTGCCAGAGACCTTCCGCGCGCTGCACCCCGATCCATCAACCTTCAACGAGGAAGAATGGGTCGCGACCTACCGATCCCTCTACGCGGCGCACGAGGAGAATTTCACGAAACCGTTCCCGGGTCTCCGTGAGCTACTGGCGGGGCTTCACTCGCGGCGAATCCCCATCGCAATCGTGAGTAATAAGGCGGTTCCACCGATTAAGACGGCGTTGGAGAGAATGGAGCTCGCGGAGCTCGTTCCTGAGGTGCTGATCATCGGGGATGGGACGCCGGGAGCGAAGAGGAAGCCTGACGCAGCGAGTTTCACGGAAGTGCTGGTACCACGGTTGAAAGGGGTATACGGGGAGGGGTTTGAGGTAGACCCTAGCAGGGTGTTGATGGTTGGGGATACGATTACGGATCTGAAGTATGCGCGCAATATCGGGGCGAGGGGATGTTGGTGTCGGTTTGGGCAGGGGGATAAGGAGGAATGCGAATTGTTCGGGCCGGATTACGCGGTGGATTCGTTGTCGGAGGTTCTGGAGATTGCGGTCAAGGAGTAGACGCAAAGGGATGGATGCAGATAGTGTTGGTATTAAGCGTATGCCAGGTGATATCCGCACGCGCTCGCAGGGAAGAGAAGCAGCCGCTGAATCCGGGGGTCGGCGCTGTGCTCTAGATACATGCAGATAGCCGTGCATTCGCCGCGGATCCGCCCCTCTATCCAGGGCTGCCATTCGGACAGCGTACATATAAGACCCATCCACTGCGCCAGGATCAACAGCGCGGGCGGGTCTCTCTCCCTCAGGAGTGCAAGGAAATCATTCTCCAGCCTGCCCATGAAAGACGCGCATTGAGCAGCATTCTTCATGTTCTTTTCCAAGTGGGATATGGCCGCCAGTATTCTAAGAGGCTCATAGTACGGATTCATCGATGCGGTGGTCGAGTCATCAATCCCACATAAATCAGCCAGGTCCGGATCAAGCCCCTCGCGGCCCTGGGTGACGCCCTGCTCGTACAACTGTACTTCTTCCTTGTGAGTCTGCTGGAATGCCGATGCCCAGATGCTAGACTGTATGTACGGCCCAGCGAGCTTGATGATGGTGCGGATGCCGCTCTGCAGGCAAAGCCAGTTCATTGCCCCGGGTGCGTTCGTCAGAACCCACGAGTCCGTAGGTTCGAAGCGATCGGGGCAGACGGACGTAATGCCCATGAACATGCAGGTTGACAGCAGAGCGTCCACATTTTGCGGGGAGACCTTTGATGATAGCGCGGCTTGATATGCCTTGATTGCTTGCTGCCAAAAGTAGATTTCAGCAAGTCGCCAGGTTTGATTCTGAGGACAGATCCTGCTGAGATGGAGGCTGCCGACGCCTAGGATCGTGTACATCAAATGGGTACACTAAATCATCAGTACTTGCAAGTATCTCTGTAGCTAGGCGACTTACTCCAAAGGCGACGCGAATCATATCGCTCTTCATGACATGTCGTATGGAAGGATTCCCAACGGCGTCTGTTGAATAGTTCATAAAGTGCTGAAACGCTATGGCCGTTACGGGCCGAGTGTCATTGGCCGTTTTCAACGTGCAAATGTCAAGACAGTCCGAGTCTGTCGCCAAAACCCGGTTGACCATCGATTCCAGATCCTTTAGCGACAGAGAGAATACGGTCCCGTCTGGTTCTTCCATCTTTTGGAGGTCCTGACTTTGAGGAGAACCACCATAGCTACAAGGAGTACCCAGCTTCTCGCATCGCCTGCAAAAAGGCCTAGTTTCGTCGCACTGCATACGTTACTATGAGTATCCATTCGCACTCTGCGGTTGAAGCTTACTTTTACTCTCCGCCGCTTACAGGTGAGGCAGCCTGCGCGGGACTTTTTATGCGGTCGTCGGGCATGATACGGTGGTGACTGGGGTCGGTCAGGAGGCGGTAGACGGAACACGGTCTGCCATGAGCGGATATTGACAGAAGTCGAGGTCATAACCTGGGTTGCAACCATATTGCTGTTTGATGTTGAGAAGGTGAGTTGGATGATTCTGTTCCAGCTTCAGCATCGCCACATTCTGCCTCGTCGGCGATCACGTGGCATGAATACGAGGGGTTCATCCGAATCAAATCTGCACACCATTTGCTGCAAGTATCAGTATTTCATTGTCCAAAGCTAAGGTTATCGGCTCATGTCTTAAAAGGAGGGCATAAGAATGTGTCTCCTTAAAGTGTGTGATGGATTGTCCTATCTGGAGTCGGCTCATGTATATTTGACAGCAGCTCCCTTGAACTCAAGTGATCAACGAGGAAAAGCCTTAATTCAGCCTCCCAATAGACTGATACTCTAATCGGTCGTTGCTTGAATTCCGATAATCGTGGTCTGCCTAACCGCGTGTTATATGTCTCTGCAATCTTAGATGCGATATCTAAGCTCCCATCACAGCACTATGTATGCCATTGTCGCATCCCCGCAGTGCAAAATGGGAACTAGGATTGTTAAGTCTAAATTCAACCTGCTCTGTCACTATCCGGGTGTCGTAGACTGAAGTGCTCGGTCAACATAACGAGCTACTTCAACTGAGAGCCACTACCCCCCGCTTTACTCCCCCAACTCCTTGCCTTCAGACTTTACAACAACTGTCTACAAGGCGAATGACATATCGCAAACAGCTACATATTACGGCACTGGTTCAATGGACCTAGTCAACATGTTATCCAACGGGCAAATGCCAACGTCCCTGCTTCTTTCTCCCACATATTGAGTGACGTACTGGTGTACGTCTACTTGTCTGAAGGTTGTCAAACAGATTCTCTAAGATTGTACTGCCCCGTGGATGGGCTACAGCGGGTGGATTATCCGGATTATGGAATGGGATTGATATAACAGGAAGCTTACTTGACTCGGAGTATGGGCTACTACGCCGGTGGTCATCAATGCAGCGGTGTCCTCCCGGCAAAGAGACAATCACGCTCGCACTCTCTGGTATGATAGTTACCAGTACTCTCGACGCCACTGACTGTTTACGCCGATGGGATTCCGCTCATCTGGGAGGCATCCGACCTTGCAAGTCGACAAGTGCGTTCAAGACATCAGCCTCATCGTCTACCTCTTCTGCAACTTCAGCTCACCCCCAGCAAGTTCAAGGGATCATGTATTCTTTTATATCCTGCGAGGCATCGAAAACGGAGAATGTATCGCACTCAGCCATTGTCGAAATGTCTGCCAGGCACTCAAGACTGCCAACTAGAACTGTCGGTTTCTACTCCGTACTACAAAACCCGATTTCGGGACTCTCCGAAAGCGGTTCCTTGCGGGTAGCGCCGGAAGGATGTTGTTTCGAGAAGTTCCATAGAATGCAATGTGCCGCTGTCACATCTACGCTGCATAGTAGAATCCTCATCCAGCACCTTCATTTCCTGCTATTGAGCTATTGTCGATACTTCTACAATCAAGGCAATGATCAAATGTATACTGCCAGGTATATGATAATTGCATCCTCGAGCCGAGGCCCTTATTAGTCATGGCCAACATTACCCCACGGGAAAACGGCAACTTCCTGACTCCACTGCGGGGAGTCTGGGATGACCCCGATTGTTCTTTATAATGTCAGCTTCTCCATATTCCTAGTTGGGGTCCTCATGCGTCCTGAAAAGGAATTTGACAAGCGGCATGGGGACAATCGAAAAGACGGATACTCGCTCACTACATCAGGAAGAAACTGCCCCAGTACAAGGACAAGATGCTGCTGAGGTCATGGAGCCAGTGGCACCGGTTCCGAACGGGGGACTACAAGCGTGGCTCAGCGTGCTCGCTGGGTTCTTTGTGTTTGTAAATTCATGGTAAGTCCACCAGTACCAGTCACGGGGACTCAAGCTAATGAACAGGGGACTGCTTGCGTCGTATGGCGCATTCCAAGAGTATTATCAGACGGTACTACTGGCATCTCAGTCGCCGTCGTCCATTTCCTGGGTGGGCAGTGTGCAGGCCACCTTGATCGTCATGGTTGGCGTCGTGACCGGTCCGCTGGTTGATTCGGGGTATCTGCGGGTTCTGATCACTGTTGGAATGATCCTCGTTGTCTTTGGGATTATGATGACCAGTCTGGCGACGCAGTACTACCAGGTAGGTCATCATCCTCCTCAACCTAGCCCTGGCTAACTCTGCAGATCCTCCTGGCTCAAGGCTTCTGCGTCGGTATCGGCGGCGGCATCGCCTACATCCCGGCGATGGTAGTTATCTCAAACAACTTCACGACCAAACGGCCCATCGCAATCGGCTGCGCAGCCATCGGCTCCAGCGTCGGCAGCGTCGTCTTCCCCATCATGTTCCGGCAACTGCAACCGCGCATCGGCTTCCCCTGGACAGTCCGCAGCATCGGCTTCATCAATCTGTTTTTAGGGCTCATGACCATCCTCATCCTCTGCCGCAAACCAGGCAAGAAGACGCGCGCCCGCAGCATGATCGAATGGCGCGCCTTCAGCGACCTCCCCTTCATGCTCTTCTCGACCTCCCTCACCTGCGTCATGCTGGCATACTACATCCCGCTCTTCTACGTCCCCTCGTACGCGCGCACCCAGCTGCACACCACCCGCAGCCTCTCCTTCTACATGGTCGCCATCATCAACGGCGCCTCCGCCTTCGGCCGCGTCGTCCCCTACCTCCTCAGCGTGTACATCCCCCCGATCGCCATCCTCTGTCTGGCAGTCGCCGGCTCCGCACTCGCCATGTTCACCTGGATCGCGGCGACGAATCTTCCCGGCTTCATCGTCTGGGCCTGCTACTGGGGATTCCTGAGCGGGGTGCTGGTCACCGCCCCGACGGCGATCATCGGGCATCCGGCGCTGTGTCCGGACGCGAATTACCTGGGGACGCGCATGGGGATGATGTGGGGGATCAGTTCGTTTGGATCGCTGGTGGGGACGCCTATCGCGGGGGCGCTGGTGGATTTATCGCAGGCGAATTTTCTCAAGGCGCAGGTGTTTGCGGGCTGTTTGATGGCGGGAGGGGTGATGTTGCAGTTGTGGCCGGTTCTGGTGGTGATGAAACATGATCGATCCAACCTGAAAAGGTAACCATAGCTGTTATTCCAGATGCCAATGCAAATGCAATACTCCGTTGATAATAATAGTTCTAGTCCGTAATAAATTATGGGGTCTGTAGGCCATCCTTAGCGCCGCGCGAAGTGGACGGTCGCTGCAACCGGCGTTTTTCCCAGGTTTTTATTGGTGTCCTTTCAGCTGAATGTCTCGCCTCAAGGGATGCTGGTTTCAGTTTGCGACCCTACGTTTCGCAGCCTATCATCGTTGCTTTTAAACCCGTTGACCCCTTTTTTGATCTTCTGTTCTGGTTCTGGTTCTAGTTCTTTTCGTTTGTCGGTCGTTGTTGATCAATCTTGACGATCGCATCTGCATCTGCATCAACCACGCAGCACAACAGTACAGAGCACAACAGTACAACAGCACAGCACCAGAGCACAGCATCAATTGCTACCGAAAAATGGCGATATTATTACGGAGAGATTGCGACGCGAGTGCCAACTCAGCCGATTGCGAGAAACCCGTCAGCGATTTTCTCAAGACAGGGGTGCCGGGGATTATCGTTGGAATGTACGTTCACTTGCTCCAAGCTGGAGAAAATGCTCTCTGTACTAATTTCCAATTGATAGACTCGTCCTCATTGCCATCTGCGTATGCTGCTACCTCCTCTACCGGAATAAGAAACAAGACGCGCGCGAGGCCGAGGATGCGCGTCGTTGGAACCTGGACAAATAACCTCCTCCTTACCATCACCCTCTTGACCGCACCATATACCCACCATCTACTGTATCTTCGATCGCACACATTCGACACATATCTTGACCGAGTGAATAAGACCGTGCCTGGAGCACACGCAGCGCTATTACACTAGAGGCTAGCGCACGACATAATGACTATCGGCGGATGGACAAAGGCAAAAGACAAGACCTACAGACTGAGCAGGTCTCATGTAAATTACTGGTCGCTGACTGCTTTACCTTGCCCACCGCACTGCATTGCATTGTATATACATTATCTTCACTGCAAGAGAAGCAGAGCAGAGCAAAAACTACTGCACCATAAACCGCGCCTTATGACTCTTATACAACGTACTCGAATCCAGCACCTCGCCAGTATTCGACCGAATGAAATCCACCTGCAGAGCCGTGCGATTCAGGAACCGCACCGTCGCATAGGAATAATCCTCATCGTATGCAAAGGCGGTATACGCCGGTTTCGAGCCCACACTGCTCAGCCCCTCGATGTTTCCCGCCCCACCGGCAACAATGTACATCGGCGCCGAGGGGTCGTTCATCCCCTTGGGGTCGGCGGTGCCATTCACGACGGGCAGGAAGCGCTGCGAGTTGTGCACGTGGCCGAAGACACCGAGGTCCACGCCGTATTTGTATAGCAGGCCCTCAAAGGCGGCTTGGCAGGGCGCGCAGCCGCTGCCGCCGGTGGTGTACCAGGGTCGGTGGCCGGCGACAATCACCCAGGGGGTAACGGTGCGGTCGACGCTGGCGAGGTCGGCGGCTAGAAAGTCGAGCTGTTGGGTTTCGCTGCCAAAGGGCCCGCCGTTGAGGCCGGCGGAGCCGTCCGGGCCGTCGGGGGCGTCGGGGAAGTCGGTTTCGGTGTCGATCATGACGATGTGGGCCATGCCGTATTCGAAGGAGTACCAGAAGGGCGGGTTGGAGAGGGATTTAGCCGTGGAGGCGAGGGATTGGGCGGTTGTGCTGGAGGAGGACGAGGCGAAGGATCTGGGCATGGTGTTGGCGAAGCGGTGCATGAAGTCGGTGAAATTGCGCTGGCCTTCGGGGCAGAGGCCGGACGTATACGGGATTTCAGTGCAGGCTGCCTCGTGGTTGCCCGGGCTGGCCATGTAGGGTTTGCGGCCGGCGATTGGGGCGAGCTGGTTGTAGAACTGCTCCAGGATCGACTGATACGAATCCTTGCCAGTCAGGAGGTTATCGACACGCAGAAACCAGTCGTCCCCATACGCTGTATCTCCCGGATGGATTACGAGCTCGTAATCATCGATTGTACTGGCTAGTCGTCCGATGGTGGTGTGGTTGAGCTCGGGTTGGATGTAGGGAATGTCGGACTTTTTGATTTTTTTCGAAGCAACGGTGTACCCGTCCTTGCCGTACACGCCAAGATCAATGACAATATCCATGCTAAACGGAGTAGTATCACCTGGAGTCCGAGGACTGAGGAAATGGTTGACTGTCGAGTTGCCCGAGACGATCTTGTAGTAGTAGGTGGTGGCGGGGGTCAGGCCAGTCAACACCACCACGTTGGAGTACGTGCGCGAGGTGGCATACGTTGTCGAGATCGACGAGCATGCCTTGGAGGTGAGTGCATTACTGGAAGTGCCATACTGGACGCAGCTCTGGTCCAGTTTCTCGTATGTGTTCCATCCAATCGATACAGCTGGGATCGTCAGATCACGTGTTGCGGTTGGGTCGAAGTCTTACCATTAGGACCATACACAGCAAGGCGCTGCTGGAAGGGGGTCGTCAAGTCGCTGGGAATAGGAGGATAATCAACCGCAGCCAATGCGCCAGTCGCAAGGACGGACAATGCCGTGATCACCGGAGTGTTTCTCACCATATTGCCCACTGCAGTCGGAGTTTGCTTCTGCACTCCGCTCGATACAGCGGGCTGCCATTTTGTTTAAATACTTCCAACGTAAAATCAACGTTAATCAAGCATGTGAAGAGACAGAGTCCATCCATCAATCACAGTGACAGATACGATCACGCCCTCGGCCCGAATAATCTGCATTGTCAAGATGCACTATCAGGCGGGAGAGTGGGACTCCGACGGAGAAAATCAAGGTTGCTAAGAAGCCTAAGAGATGTAGCCGAAGCCACTATGATCATAATAACGGTGCAGAATCCACTCTAGCGTCCACGTGCACCAGGGACAGTCTGTCAGTGATCAACAGAACCGAATCATATTCTATTGCGGTTTCTCTGCGGGTGAATAACCGAGGCAGTGCCGATCCATATCTCTGTCCGTCCGATGCGGACTTGACCGATTGGCGTCTCCGAAGTACGCAGTTAGTAATGAAGATATCGCAAACCTCCTGCTACAGAATCTAGTGCAAAGAGTCAAGAGTACCAAGCTTTGCCGGGAACCTTCCGGTGAATACGCGTCAATATTCCTTTGATACTTGTCTTGTATCCAGTTCTTCTAGATCAACTGCCGAGGGATAATTCATAATCTGCAGGAACAGCAAGTTAGCATAAATTCCAATCATTGTAGCCGAGCAAAGTAATCTAGGTTGACCGGACAGCGGATAGAAAGTTGAATCCGAGACCACCCTGACAGCTACTGGCCTAGATCTTGCAGACAGCACATTGTTCCCGTATATAATCTGCTGACGGCGAGAGGTAATAAAACGTGTGATAGGCTTCCATCCTGACTGGGCTAATACCAGTTGGATTAATATACAGCCATGCAGATATATATTGGTTACTTGCTCCTTCCTAGTTTGAATACTAACACTCTGCCGCCGTGCACTTGCATGTATTCAGTGTGTGGAAAGCCATAGTGTGACTGCCGGACACCTCATACTGCTGAAATATTTTCTGTATAAACAATTACGAGCATCGTTATTTGCTACCCCAGTTCTCTATATATCGAGACGAAGTACGTCCAATTTAGAAGACGCCTGTGCTTAACAAAAAGTAGAAGCTTCCGGCATTCAATAGTAAGCAGTTCTCAATATGGCTGGAATCAGATTCGCATTTCAAAGCCGCGTTGGCCCTCTGCTGTATATGCGTTGGACAAATTATTCTTATGCTCCCCTGCGGATTGCTCTTCTTTCTACCCCTCCATTGAGGAAGAAGATATAGAACATGATTTTTTCGCCAGTTTTCACCTTCGCATTGGTTACCGGTGCATAATCATGTCGTAAGATACAGGAGAGGATACTCATATAGCGCATCTATGATTTCCTCCGCGATAATCCTGCTGGCGAGACACAGTCTGCACAATCACCTCGCAGCTCTTATATGCAGTGAGAACGACTTTGCTACCAGGCAGCATTTGTCCGATAATATCAAATATACAGACTGGCGTGTTAGGCAGTCTGGAATAATATGGAGTGTAGAATTATCATTAAATCATAACTCTGCCGTCAATGAATGTCTACAAGGGCTTCTATGCTTTTTGAAACATCAATGGAAACATACATCACAAGGATGAATGTTAGCATGAAATATGGACATAGGCAGAATTTCTCTATTTAAAACCATACATCCACATACTAGTAAAAACATATACATGATATGGTTCTATAGCAACTTATAGGGCTACTGTACTCCATATGTACAACAAAGAACAGAAGTTTATTTACACATAGACTCTGTGCTTCACACAGAGAACTCCATGGACTGACAAAAGCATAAAAAGGGGCATTAGTACTAGCACACCATTCTTGACGTGGTCTCACTAATTGTAAGCCCAAGAAGGTATTTGGTTCGATGGACGACATGGCGCTAAGATAGGCGCTAATTACAGCCTACAGATTTAGCCCAGAGTCAGTGGAATATTCACTGGAGATCTGGTCCTGTGACATTTTCTCATTGCAGAGGGAAACACAAGTCAGGGATAAGGAAGGTTAGGACACTTGATGTTGGGGCCGCAGGGCTTTTCTGTTTGACTTAGGCTTCACCTTCCATAGCTACTATCTAGTCTAGATGTCGGGAGGGAGTCTGGTGAACAGCTACCTTAGCTGCAGGTGCAGCGCCCCTTTTCAGCCACTGCTGGTGAGATCGGAAGTACGCCGTAAAAGCGGGGATGCTGCCTGCCACCTTGATTACTACTCAAAACACTCCAATAATAACAATAACTAACACTTAACAAGGTAGCAATCGATCCAGGGCTCATAGTGTCACGATGCCAAGGTGCTGGTTCTCATGTGGGAGCCGCAAAGACAAGGAGCCTGAAGAATATGCCAACGCCATAAGGAACGACAAGCTGGGTGCCTCGAGCAATGGGTCTTCCGAGAGACAACAACCCGGCAAGAACGACGGTGAAGGCGGCCCAGCATCAAAACAACCGGAGGCGAACGTTGACTGCACTCGGGAGCTGACCACATCGCAAATTCTCTGGAATGAAGCTTATGACAGCCTGTATGTCGAGGAGGCGGCTCTTGTAAAGTCGTATGTGAAGGTCATGGCGAAGAACCTCCAGCCCGAGGAAACTGGAGGAGCGGACGGTGTCCTGGCAGAAATGGATGACCCGGTGGAACGACAATTGGCGATGGAGAAGCTGGTGAGAGACGGTGTGCAGAAGATTGCGAGGACATCGGCCGTCGCAAAAGGGGTCGGCGTTGTGGCCGACGGTTTCTTAAAGGCCAAGGGCTTGATTGACACTGCGATCGGGAATATTCCACAGGCTGCTCTGCCGTGGGCTGGCGTCTGCGTCGTACTACAGGTGAGTGAGCATGGCTTGTCAGAGGTCCCGTGTAGTACTATATCCCCCTGACACCCGCGCAGGTCCTCATAAATCCGATGCAAGCCTCGCAGGCGAACCAGGTCGGCATGGAGTATGTGGTAACCAACATGGATTGGTATTGCAGTTTGTCCGACCACATTCTGAGAAAGGAATACATCAAAGTTGGAGAGGAGAACTACGAAGGAGTCCGGGATCAGTTGAAGAGCACGCTTGTCAAACTCTACAAAGCTCTGCTCTTGTATCAGATGAAGAGCGTCTGCTCCTACTACCGAAACCAAGTCGAAGAGTTCCTCCGTCAGATGCTCAACTTGCAAGACTGGGATGAAGCTTTGGAGGATGTCAAGAAAGCGGAGACCGTGGTCAAGAATTACCTGAAGCAGTTTACCACACTCCAAATGAGGGACATGACTGGCAAAATAGTCAAGGATGGAGAAGAGAGGAATGAGCTTCTGAGCGGTATGCGTCAGGATATTCGGAAGCAAAACGATGATCAGAAGAAGATGCATTTGGACGATGAGACCGCAAAATGCCTTCGAGACTTCGATGCAGTCGACCCTCAGAGCGAGATGGCCGATATTGAAGCGCGCAAGGACACGCTGCTGAAGGAAGCCTACGAATGGGTGCTCCGGACGGAACAATACGCCGCCTGGACAAGCTGGGATGTCCAAGATCCATGTCGACTGCTGTGGATCAACGGGCCAGCTGGCACGGGAAAGACCATGCTCTTGATCGGTGTTGTTCAGGAACTCGAGAAACAGCTGGGGGCCAACTTGACCTACTTTTTCTGCCAGAGCGCCTCTCAAAACCTCAAAGACGCAACTTCCGCTCTGCGATCCTTGATCTGGTTACTCCTGCAGCAACAACCACAGCTCACCTCCCATCTACTGGCCAAGTACCGAAGCGGAAGCCGATTCAATGATAGTCAAGCCTTCTGGAAGCTGAAGAGAGTGTTCCTAGAAATGCTGGCTGACGAAAGCTTGTCGCCCGTCTACCTGATCGTCGACGCTCTGGATGAATGTGAGGTGGAAACACCGGGACGAGAACATTTGCTCGAGCTCATGTCGGAGTCCCTCCGCGCAACAGACAAGGTCAGGTGGCTAGTCTCCAGTCGGCCCGAAGTCCACGTCTACGAGAAGCTCAAGGAGCGGGACACGCCAGGTACCATCCGCGAGCTCGACGTTCGGAGCAAAGACGCTGTCAACGCATACATCGACCACCATCTCAGTAAGCTGGCTAAAAAGCCGGGCTACACACCAAAGATTCAAGAGGAAATCTCTCGCGAGATTCGTCAGCGAGCCATGAATACGTTCCTGTGGGTGGCCTTGGTGTTCAAAGAGCTTCAGAACACCCCTGGATTGTATGCCATGAGAAAGATTAAGAAATGCCCTAATGAACTTCTCACACTATATGACCACCTGATGGACCAAGTTGAGAGGGGCCAAGATGAAGATCCCATGTATTGCCGGAGCGTTTTGGCTGCTGTTTGCCTTGCCTATCGGCCCCTGTCTTTCAATGAGCTGCACGTCATCGCTGGCCTGGACCCAGATGACATACCGGGCCGAATTGTGAAAGAATGCGGCTCATTCTTGACTGTTCAAGACAACACCGTCTCTCTTGTGCACCTGTCAGCCCGTGAATGGCTGATGTCAAATTTCGACGCACGGCTCCAGAAACGCGGACCCGCGCAAGTCCATGCTGACATCTGTGAACGCTCAATCGCAGGAATGTCTGCAGAAGAATCGGGGCTAAAGCGCAACATTTGCGGCATCGAGGAAGGGACCCAATCAGACGATATCGTGATTCCTTATCCAGATCCACTAGCTGCTCTACGGTACTCGTGCGAGTTTTGGGTCGATCATCTTCTCGAAGTTGGTCAGATCTCGGACGAGAATTGTCAATTGTTCGCTGATGACGGGGAGATCTTCTCCTTTCTCAAGGTTCATTTCCTCCACTGGCTCGAGAGCTTGAGTATCATGCATAAGCTGGCCAGCGGACAATTGTCAATCATAAAACTCCATAATTATATGAAGGAAAGTGGCCCACTCAGTAGTCACATGCGCTATGTCTAACTAGGATTGCAGTCTTCGTCGAGCAAAGGCGTCAAGTTCGTTACTTTCTTGAAGGACGCTGAAAACTTCGTCCGCAGGCATCGGACGACCATTGAACAGTACCCAATACAGACATACGGAACTGCGCTCGCGCTCAGCCCCACCAGAAGCCACGTAAGAAACATGTTCTGGAAGGAGAGACTGTCGTTTATCGAGTCTGTCCAGGGTGTCGGTGACGCGTGGGATGCTTGCCTGCAGGCCTTTGAGTCCCCGACATTCCAGCTCCCCTCCGTCGCTTTTTCACCGGATAAAAAGGTCCTCGTTTTGGTTACATCTGGGCGAGTGCAGATGTGGGACCTTGCAACTGGCGGCTGCAAGCGAGTTCTGGAGGAGGGCGATGAGGATCATGAGGTTTTCGCAGTGGCCTTTTCGCCAGATGGTACTACCCTCACTACCGTTGCGAAAAGTGCAGTGCGGTTCTGGGATGTTACCACCGAGACTTGCAAAAAGACCCTCGACTTTCCAGATGGATCCATTTCAGCAGCAGCCTTTTCACTGGACGGTGCATGTCTTGCTGTGGCTTCCGGTGGAGCAATCTGTCTCTGGGATACCGCAGGCATGGTATGTGACAAGACTCTAGAGGATGTCACCGACTACGGGGTGGCATCCATTGCATTGTCGCCAGATGGTAAACTTCTTGCCGTTTGCACAGACAGAGGAGTGCAGGTATGGGATATTGCTGCTGGGGTAGTGAAACAACAACTACCCAAGTCTCCTGAGGATGTCCAGTCCGTGGCGTTTTCGCCGGATAGCAAGTCTCTCGCATTGGGTTCGTGGACCCAAACGGCGATTTGGGATTTCAAAGACGTGACTTTCGAGCAGAAATCGAATGGAGACTATTTCCGTCCTTTCAGTGCGTTCACGGCAGATGGCCGGTTCGTCGCTCTCAATTCGTATGGTAAAGTGCAGTTCTGGGATGCGGCCGATCCCGTCTGCGAGCAGATTCTTCAGGGCCGATTGAGTGACGCCAGATCAGTCTCCCGCTCACCAGACGCCAACTACCTCGCGTCTGTTGAACGCAACGTGTCTGTGAGACTCTGGGACGGCTCAATTTGCGAAGCGGAGCAAACCTCGCCAGGGCGTGGCGCTTCAGTCAGTTTCTTGTCCTGCTCTCCGGATGGGACCCTTCTCCTGTGTGTTTCAACAGGTGCCTCCATGCAACTCTGGACCACTGATGGTGTCTGCACACATACACTCACGCACCCCACCAAAAAAGTCAAGTTCGTCACTTTTTCTCCAGACAGCAAAACCATTGTATCTGGCGCGCAGGACACCGTGTGCGTATGGGACGTTGAGACGGGCAGACTTCTGCACACTCTCAAACACTACGGGGAAGAAGGCATTATCAGGGTGATCTTCTCTCCAGACGGTACTACCCTCGCTGGTGGCAGCGTAAATACCTTACAGCTTTGGGATTCGGTCACCGGATCCTCTAAAAACAGTTTCGAGGGCTTCTCGATCCACGATGCATATTTCTCCCCCGATGGGGAGTTCCTGGCCGCTTTCTCACTCCAGACGATCTTCCTACTGAACATAGCCACTGATGTCCAACAGACTATAGACAGCCCCCACCAGAATGACATTATCGAGGCAGCATTCTCGCCGGACAGCAAGATCCTGGCCTCTTTGTCCGTTGACGGCACGTTATGTCTCTGGGATACTGCTACCGGAACCTGCACCCATACCTTCAAGCTCGAGGAAGAAGCAATTGACGAGCTTTCATTCTCCGAAGACGGCAAATTTCTGTGGACGAACCTGGGACGGTTGAACCTCGACGACGGCAAATTTCTATTGACGGACCTGGGACGATCCAGCGCCGACGATGGCTCTGTCAGTCCGCAGCTACCGGCATCTGAGGAAGGGCTGGCATCTACCTCGGTGTCTTCTGCCAGACGACCTCCAGTCAAACCGGCATATGCATGGCCTGCAATTGACGGGCTGAGATATGACGGCGAGTGGGTGATTCGGGAGGGGAAGGATCTCCTCTATATCCCTGCGGGTCAACGACCTGCACATCCATGGAACACCTGGAAGATGTTCAAAAATATTCTTTTCATTGGCGATGGGTCTGGTCAACTGACGTGTTACAAGTTTTCGTTTCCGTCTTCCTGATTAGGTAGTGCATGGGTATTTCGGAACACAAACTGAACAGAGTCTTGGTGAAATCCAGATTCTATAATTATCAACCAATACGGTCCGGACTCCAAGGCTGGAAGCATCTTATAAACCTGGCAGATCATGCGCGAGATGATGATGATATTGCACATCACCTCCTCGACATCCACATAATACTAATGCTTACACCTATAAACCTGGTTTGGAGAGCGGCCTGCATGCCATCAATGTTCATGTGCTTAGATGCCACCTCTTGCTGGTGCATCCCTTTTCCGGATGGACGCGTGGACTTTGTCCAGCACCTGGCAGCTTCAAGGAACCTACCTAAATTGATCGGAAGACGCTTTCGGACAGCAGATAACGCTAGTCCAGTCATGATTACTTCCTCATAGGCCTGTCATATGTTTCATGTAAGATATTCCATACTGTATGGACTGCCCTTGCGTCATCTCCGAATAGAGGACTATGTCTGTAGTTACTGCAAAAGCTATGGTGCTAATAGAGTAACTAACCATTCTATTGATCTTTGTCAATTGCAAATATGGACAGTCTTAGGTGAGTAGCTGCTTAAATCTGCCTGATCAGCATTGCTTCTCTGTTGGCTGATCAAACAAGCTTCCATACCCACATTGAATCGTGGAAGCTCTTTTCAAGCCTCCATTTTCCATCAATGAGTCCTCCACCATCCAATTCAAGACACCATGGCACGAACGAAGCAAGTCGCGCTTGGACGCCGGTATAACCACAACCCGAAAGTCTTCCGCGATCATCGGGGAAACAGCTATACTGTGGTGGGAGAAACACCCAGCTCGTGCTCCAACCCCTCGACGGTGATCAAACTGGGCATTCAATTGTATACTCTATCCGAGTTAAAAGAGACCTCAGAGGAATGTGGTTCTAAGCTGCTCAGCAGCCAAGTTACTACAAACTGTGGAAATCTACACAATTACTGGCCCCGTGCAGACGTCTACTCCCCACTGGGAAGTGTAGAAGAGTGCATGGAGCACCACCACGCTGAGAAGCTCTACAGAAAACGTGCCCTGGAGGAAATGCACAGGGAGGCGACAGCTACAGCCGATAACGAGGAAGACGCCGAGGAAGCCGTGCGGAAGTTACGCGGGAAACAGCCCCTGCCGCATATCGTGCCGACGTGGGCATGCACAGAGAGGTTCTGGACACAGTATTCCTATGGACATGATTGGCGATATCGCAGTTTTGTTCTCGTTGTACCCCAGGACTGTCGATGCTGGGATGATGTCGAGGAAAGGGACTGTGGGTAGTGTGCTTTGATCAAGACGTCACCCCCGCGATGGAGACGCATATGTGGGATTGTGTGCGGGAGGAGAGCTGGCAAACCGACAATGAAGAGGGATGGGTAGAGGTTGAGAGGATTGAGTATGGACCTCCTGTTCTCATTGGGCGCGTTTCGGTTTGCCGGGAGGGCCAGCAGCCTAGTGGAAGTGACCATTCGAACATTACTGGTAATCTGTACGACATGTGGAGTCGAATCATACGAGTGCTGCATGATTGTACTTACCGGCAGTCCGTATGCTCTGGTTGCGCAGAAGATACTCCCCATGAGTGTGAGCTTGATATGTGAGTATCTCCATTTGCAGAGGGTGGCCTCTTTGGGCGACTGACCTCTCTAAGGACGAGCACTTCTTTGATGAAGATGCTGAATGTGTGGCTTGTCGAAGGGCATCGGAATATCGACGCAGGAGCAAAAGATTAGCACATAAGCGTAAAGTGCAGGAGATGAGCCAACAGTAGACAAGGATCATACGGAAATACCAACATATATAACGCAGTTATACTGCATAGCTTGTGTGGAGATTAGGAAACTTACCCTTGAGGACACGGCAATAGCAAATATCGACGAACCTAAAACATTCCAGAAACCACTGGCTGGGATTTAGTAATAATTAGTTTAGTTCTCAAAATTTCCAGCTTCACAAAGATAACAACCAGGGAGTGTCAGCCCGCTGGGCATGACATAGGGCGTTGATCTATACCAATCCAGTAGAGAGACTTCAGTGTCCTGGGACCAATATCAAAGCCCCCAGCCTTCAGGACACAGAAGAGGTCCTTTTCTCTAAGCCAACCTGGAAGAAAAGAATCCTAATACAAGCATGCAGCACAGTATCAGAGCTTGCCACATGATTTCACTTCTTAATACCCCACTTCTGTAGGTGTGATTCAATCATACATATCATAATCTCAATCCCATGCTGGTCAAGAAGGAACATTTACAGAGATCTAATACACTATTTTAATAGAGATTATTCAGCTCAGCCTTATCAGGCTCAAGGTTAATATAAGGATGAGGCATTATGTAGTTATGCTTTATCATACAGATAGAAACTTTGAGGTGGAAGGGAATTAATTTGCAGGAGCATTATGCTTTTACTATTCATGCTAATCTTTAATAAGTAGCTGATCTGCCCATAATGCTAGTCAGCTTTTGTCTCCAGAGACACACTATCACTGAATAACTTGGAAGTTGGAAGCATGCACTCAGGAATATATAATGTAACTTATTAAGGAAGCCATCATAATAAGCTCTAATAAGCGGAGGATAGTTAATATAGAAAACTTAAAGCACCCAGCAGCCACCATATTAAGAGATTGAAAAACTTTTACTTCCCTAATTGACTGGATTGAATGAGTTCTCACAAAGGACACAAGGTATTTCTAATATGATCATATCCTAAGCAACAAGGCCATGACAAGGGACGAAGTACCTTCTTAAGATCTCAACCTTGCATTAACATTGTATTACTCTTCATCAGTCTCGCAGCAGCTGGTTCTACTAACATTGACTATGAAAACTCATTAAACATTTGAGGTTCGCATAGCAAGTCACACTTGGTCAGTCTAGAGGACGATCTCAAAATGTAGTAACTGACTTTAGGATGAGTTTCTGATTTTAAAGGAGCAGGAAAGCTCCAAGCTAAGAGTCAGTGGGTGGTGGTGGTGTGCTGGTATAACCCGGAATAATTCATAGGTAGGGAGAGGAAGGAAACCCCATGGTCTTTTTTACTTCGTCTCTGGCATTCACTCCTCCCAACATCAACTCACAATGTGCCCGCATCAAGCAACCCTTGTATGAGCGTCCTGTTCCTGTGGTCTAACATGCAAATATCACTACTAACAAGGGAGACGATTCCAAAAGGCTTGGACTGTAATAGGCCAGGAACTAGATGTATTAAAATACAAAATTCCATTTCTATATACTATTACTTCCATATCAGCAAAATCAAATACTTTCAATCCAAGGTATTCTCATCTGCAATTGAACATAATAGGAATAACAGGGGAACAGACAACAATGAAATAGAATGTTCCACAATACTTTTGTGATTCTGATACTTAAGGAACGCTTAACACCATCATTCACTCACATCCATCCTAGACAAGACAATATTCCAGGAGAGATGGCTCTTAAAAACGCCCAACACGTTACCCTTTCCAATATGGTATCTCAAAACCTAATGTCTTTTGCACCTACAACTACCCCAATCCCAGTCACAGTGAGGATCATGATTATCGCACCACCAGTCCCTATCACACCGGCAACGGCCCTGGTCGCGCCAATGGTCTGGGTGACAGCGATGGTCTTTAGAAGGGCACTCGCACCGGTTCCAATCCCAGTCATGGCAGCGAGGGTCATAATCCCAGCAGACCCATCTAACATCCTCGCAACAACCATTTTGTTTCTTGTGGTCTGGGTGGCAGCGATTTCCATCTCTTCTATGGCATTGTGTACGCTCTATGTAATAGCGTTATAGATATACCCTGAGATGAGAGAATGAGACATACCCTGAAGACTGTCTTCGCCGTTGGGTTGCGAGGAAGGAGATGCAACTGCCAGGCCAAGCAGCAGCAGAGTCAAAGTAGCATTAACTTTCATAATGGTAGAAATTATACGCCAGACTTTGATGTTGGAAAGTCCCCTGTACCAAGGACTAAAGCTTCTTTATGGGTTATAATGATGCAACAACAATGCATAAAACACAACAGATCACCGAACACTAGCACACTATATATACATATTTCTCCCTCATTCACACGACAATGTGATCTCATACTGGCCAAGCTCTTTCCTGTATGCAATCGGAAATCCTGTTGATTCTAGACCAAGTCTGCATCTCATCCCCCCGAATCCGATGGCCTTTATTTTTCGCCTGACCCCGCCACGCTAACTGCTTAACTTTACCATTCTTGTAACATATAAATCGATTCTTGTCTAGATGCTGTTTCTTGGCACAGGTCTTACTCTGTTCGACCCTAGGACGCTAGTCTTATTATATCATGATTACCAAAGGGAGACATGTAGCTTCGCAATGGCATGTTACCCAGAATTCTCCATTCATCTTTTGAGTTTAGGTTACCAAGTCGAAATAATCAAACAAAGCCGGAAATAGACCATGAGCGATAGCCATTGGAGACAACATGGACAAAATGTTATTGAACCATGGATCTCGCAGCACGATAGCCCTGGATGAAAATCTAGAACTCAAGTTGGTACCCATTGTACGAAAATGGTGGGGTACGCGTTTGCTTCAATCATATTTCGACTTACGAGCTGCCTTCTCCGCGGGAGCCTTGAGATACATTCTAGTATAGACCATCTCCCCTCCGTGGTTATTATCCATCTCTGGTTTATGGTTAAATATAACAGTAGAGAAGCGGTCCTTTCTTCGAGTATGGTGATGTCAAGTGACCATCCAAATTTTTGATATAGAAACGTTATAAACATTAACATATCCATGCTAATTTCGTCTGCAATCTCTAAAAATGCAAATGGCAAGAAATCGCAGCCTGCATAGCCTTGATAATCTTTTTCATTACATTCCCTTGGGTGAAAGGAAAACCACGTCCGGTTGGGTATCCCTCTATTTGGTTGAACTTTCTTTCTGGTCATCTGCTGATCAGAAGCCTAGATTGAAGAACCTAGATTGACTCTCAATAGTTTACACTTTGAGATTACCCACCCATTAAGGTTGAGTTTGCCTTCAGCCGTCTGCCGCCACAGCCGTTTCATGATAAGTTTAGGACTGCTAAATACTGCATCATATGTCAAGATGCAAGCCTGGAGCTAATGGTTACTGGTAATCATGGAATCCAGTCCAACCAAGGTTATGTACTCAGAACAGGGTCTAGCCATAATCGATACAGAACCCAAAGTTGGGCTGCCATTTACAGATCGCCGTGCAAGCTACAGTAACTGTCATATGCTCTGGCCATTAACTGTGGCACAATTCAAAAAGCCAGATAGAGAAATTAATCGATTAAGCCACTCGTATTTGAGTTATATTGGAGTCAATAAGTGGCATTTGCCCTATAAAAGCGCTGCAACACTAAATATAACCGTCCTTTAGTCGACCTTCCTTGAAAGGGTAGCACATCAGGACATCTCAGAACTCTAGATCAGAAGTCAGTGCCGGGATAAGGTTTCGGATGATCGACAACGCGTCACTAATGGACTCTGGAGTTTCATGGTCGGCTAATTCATAGTTCGACGCTGGGTGTAGCATGGGGTGCTGCCACCATTCATCCTTATAGTTTGTAGGCGCGTATAGGAGGCGATGACAGCTGCCAGGGGAGGTAAACCACGCTGTAGTGCTGTCCAGCCTAATGACATGGCAAGTTGTCCATCCAATGACCAGCTGATCACCACAGCTTATTCACTGTTAATATGTAGTCCAGACTGTCAAAGGCAAAGACTAGGCAGTTGGTTATGAGCCTAGTCAAGAGCATCGCACATATCCACCACTGGTCAGTCTGCTAGGGGGATCTCAGGGCAAAACCAGTAATCCGGGCTAACTAGCAAGAAGCCCTTCCTCAGCAAGAGCTGTGTCTGAGTGGGTCTGATGTCCTTTCTGCTGAATAACATGTGGCTGCCTCTGTGATCATTAAAGCTGTATATCATATTGTAAGCACCAAAGCCAAGTGTGAGAAGAGACATGGAACTTATCGTGTACTGACTGGCATTTTTCTCTCTGGCAGCACTTCACCTTCGACGGGGTAATAGACATCAGCATGAACCTCAAGGTCACTGATCTTCTTGTAACAACTGTTTCCATCACAGCCTTCACCGGCCTCTTGGGCGCTTTTTGTGCACCCATTGGAAACGCAACCACAACCCAGACTATCTTAGGCTTAGGCGTGTTACCATCGCTCCATCACACCTCTTAGAAGCACACTGCCCTCATCCGGCGCTCCTAGTGCTTCTTGTTCACCAATGCAAGTTCATGACCATCCTCCAACAGCCATTAGCCTTCAAGCAGGCCGACCATGATATCGAGCCAAAACATATTCTAGGTGATTTCAACCAGCGCCAGAGCCCCGTCGTCCGGTAGCATCTGTCGAGCATGCCAGAGTGACACCAAGTTTCTTGTGGCGTGGATCCAGTCAGTGGTAATAATGTAGTGGAACACGCCCTGAGACTGAGGCTTGAGCAGTTTCTCCACATCCAGGACATCAAACAACAAGCCCTTAGTGCCCTTAGTGCCCTTGAACTGCTTCGCAGCAGCGTTGACTAGCGAAGCCCCAAGATTGGTGAAGATATATTTGATGTTGATACCCTGGCTCTTCGGATGGTTGATGATATACTATGCGGTGCCACCTGTTCTGGCACTGATCTCAAAGATGCAGAACTTGCCCTCTCCAGTGGCGTATTCAGTGAACACCTTCAAGAGATTACTGACAAGGGTAGGGCCCACAGCAGTGGAGAGAACTGGTACATCTCCTCCAGTGTCTTTTTGGTCTCTTGATCACCGAAGACGACGACCTGGAGACGAGACCCTCTTTATCACTGCGCAAGCAAGGAGCCATCTTGGAGCTAATAGTCTCACTAGCTTATTCACGCTGGCATACTACAGGTATAGGTCAAAAATTTCATGGTAAATAGACTCAGCAGGGGCCGATTCAGCGGGGACATCTATTTAAATAGAGCTGTTGTTGTGCTTGTAAGAGACAACAAGCTCCCCATCCTCAAACATGCGGCAGATCTGACGCACCAGCTTTGTGTGCTTCTTAGAAGCGTGGATTTGAGGCATGGCGTTGCCAGCTTGAAGCTTCCTCGAGTCACACCCTGTGTCAGCGAATGTTTTCAAGACGTAGGCGTCTGGGTGGTTCATCACCTCTTCAAATCAGTGATGGCCTGTGAGGATCTCAAAGTGCTTAAATTCCTGTGCAGCCTGCACGTCATCGCGCTTCTTAAGGCAGACCCGACCCATGAGATATTTGAAGGGCTCCACCTTTTGGACGTCCATGTTCTGCATTGTGATGGAAAATGACCACGAAGGATGACTGTTAGTGAGTTTCTTCAGACAAGCCTGATCCTGTTAGTAGTTATTGAAATATAATACCAGTAGGCTAAAAAGGTGTCCGGACATGATTCTTATCAGTCTAGGGTCTCCATATTTTTCAACAGTAGTGCTTTAGCGAATTAGAGATTTCATTACCAGATCATCCACTATTGGACATATATCTTTGCCTGGGTGTCATTCTCTAGGAACAGGGCTGCGCGGGCTGCCAGTTCAAAGTAGAGGGATGCCAGAGTAAGACACTGTCCAGCCACAACATATCCACCCAATATTTGCTAAAATCAGTCAGCTTATGGATTAATCTAGAAGAATAATTCATTCTTAGAGGCTTCCTTACGATTAAAGAAAGTGAGCAGCTCATGGGTTTCTTATGTGTTAGTTACAGATTCCACCACGGCATTGTCTGCCATGGGATCTCTGCCCGTGAAACTTAGCCAGTGGCGCGTCTTCTTAAACGAGATAGGGGGCAGGCTGAGATACTCATAGTCAGAATCTGGTGGAATGGCCAGAATTGCATTGCATACCCACTCTTCCAGAGATTAACTATGACGTTAGTGAGAGAGGCTTATGCATTTGCCAAAGTAACTTGGGGAGAATAAAATGTATGCCCCTTTAAATCAGGCATGGGGAGTATGGCTTGGGAACTATATCCAGAATCTTTGGAGAAATCACTTTGACTCGCCGGTATACCTGTTGAGAGATTAGACTTGTATGATGCCACTCAGCTTGGTTAGAATCACATTCACCTTTGAATGGCAAGCTGCAGCCTGTCCAGAATTCAGCAGACTATTAGCAGTGAATGTAGGCTTTTTAACTGGTTGCTCTAGTGAATGCTCTACCTCCTTGAGCCTGAAACATGGATCACCCCTTCCCTATCATATCTTTACCAACTCTACACCGATCTCGTCCGAATTGACCATGAAGATGGAAAACGCGCACAGTACATTTAATCCATCAAAATATGTTTCTGGTACTATTTCAAGTTCGGACCTTTTAAAGAGATCGTCTACAAGCTCATCTCTGAACACTGGGTGGACGCTGGGGAAACCGACAAGAGCCTAGACAGCTCTCGAACTCAGTAAGCTGGGCCATTTTATTGTTCTTGTACCAGCTAACCTGCCAGGATAGACTCGAGACAGTGACAAACACATTGTGGCTTCGAATGATGGTTACCAAAGATGGTCTCTGCGACCATATTCTGAGCCCTACAACGTTATGATCGAAACTGGCATTCCTATAATCAAACGCTGTGGACAGGGCATTGGCCAAAGGCATGCGGACATCGTCGCGCACTCAATTGGTGCGATGGGTTTAATACTGAAACCACAACGTTTACGCTCTGCCGTAGACTGGATTCAAGTCCGCATGTACCGCTGTTGGTCGGATTTCCGTCGTGGATCAGCAACGACTTTATACGGAGTGTTATACAACCCATTCCTGCGTTGGCCGCGATATCCAGCCTTGCATTGCTGAGCATACTGGTGACAACCAGCATCAGAGCGGAGCGGCAACAGCGAAGGACAGGCTATACATCTAGCCCAAGGACGTACCTATGCACCTGCTCGACACACGAAATATGTCCTCGGTGGTAGGAGTCCAAGCGCGGTTCTGGGTTGTACTCGAACAACTTTCCTTGCCTCATGGACCTCCTCGTGCGGACATCTCAACTGTGCGTTTAAATCCTGAACCTACATCAACGGGGCCTTGGGCAAGATCGACTGGGAGGACATACTGGCGGACCACACTGCAGAAATGGCGAAATGGCGAATTGCCAGGAGGAACTGGCAGGACAACGTCGCTCGCACCAACTGCCAAGCAGGTAATAAGGGTACCATGGGTGCCGGAGGCCACCTCCACTGGATCACTGCACTCCTTCAACGGTGGATGGTTCTGCCGGCTGTGCAAAAAGACTTACCAGCGGTCAGGTCGCTTCCCAGAAGCACTACGGGTCTCCGACGAGGAGATCCAACGTCGTCATTGCCAATGCGGTGACTGTGATAAAGTTGGGTATGAGGTCAGTTATACCCAACCAAATGGCGCCAAAATGTGCAATACATGCCACCAGCATGCAAAAGCCTGGGGGGGTTTCTAAGCCACATACTCAGTTGTTTGACCGCTGTGCCTGTGATGGGGCAACCATCACAGGCAAAGACTGACTCAAACGCATCTGGAAAGAGGATGGCCGGAGGGACTGCACGAGGTGCTATAACCAGCTGGCGAAGGGAAATCGCCAACATGACCACCCGAGAAGAAGAAGAAGAATGCCCACGACGGAATGAAGTTGCCCTGGCCGGTTGCTCGAGAGGATTGGGATAGCCTCCACAACCTACGACAGATACGCCGTGATCTAACGAAGTTCGCCATGGTCTTGGATAAGCATATTTCGAGTCTCGAAGCTAAAGAGAAAGCAGAGAAGAGTCTCCTGATGACTCAGACGCGTCTGCATTCTGATGAGCTTCGACTCTGTAGCCATCCAGAAAGCAGCGGATACCAGATTCAGGGGCAGAGTCCATGCCTGCACTGGTTGCCCCCGAAAGGGGCACGGCCTACGTTGGGTCGCCCAGGAAAATGGCACGTATATGTGCAATACATGCGATTTCTGGGCCAAAAACCACGAGGGTGAAAGCCATTGGCTCTCCAATGGGGCAAAACCAGCCGATAGGGTGTGCCAGTGCCTTGGTTGTCACAAGAAGGGCGCCGGTGTCTCCTGGGCAAAATAGCCCGATGGGAACCATGCTTGCCGCACATGCTGGGAGTATCGAGGGAAGAACCCGGACAATTGGCAGAATCATGACCATTCCTTATTCAGGAAACGATGCCGCAAGTAAGGCGGCGATAAGTATGGATAGGCGTGGTTCTAAAAGGTGGCTTTTGTTTTATGGTTTCTCTAATATAGTTACTCATGAGTATGAATGATAATGCAATGCACTACAAGTCCATGGTCTTTGTATCCAGTATTGGTAGATGCTAATGTACGGTGCCTCATAGAGCCCAGAGGCCACCCGTGCGACTGATATCCAGCATTCCATGAGCAAACGGCCCAGGAGTTGATACTGCAGGACATGTGTGAGCGTACGATGTCTCCGAACTTTCTGGTATACTTTCATTAGCTAGAGCGAGACTGACGAACAGATGATCAGGCTCAAGCTTCAGTTAAGTGACTCGTAAACCATACCGAAAGAATGTCTGGCCCGGCTGCTCATTGCACCAAGTACTATAATTGCTCTGCTCCGTCAAGCCAGTCCTACCTCCCTGCCTGAACCCGTTGGAGCCAGCGCCATCCCCTCCTCTTCATCAGATACTTCTTTTCCGGGGTTCCGCAAATTTGAGAGACCCGAGAGCTTTTGCTTAATCCATTGTATCAACCTGTACCAGACTGGAGTCGATAGCTGGCCGATCCTAGTGCGTAACTCCAAGTTCGCCTGACAGGCAGCCGACAGCTCCTTTGTGACTGTCTGCAAAGAAGCTGCAGTTCTTGCAAGCTGGGAGGAGATGGAGGTATTGTTATCATTCAATTTGTTCACCTCGTGTTTGAGAACGTTAATCTCGGACTGCAAGGCCTTCTTATCATTTTCCAAGCCCTGATTGACGGACTGGGCTTCTTGCAGTTCAGTACTCGCGGCGATCAGCTCCCTAGTTGCTGACTGTTCCTTGTCCTGCAAATCTTTATACTTATCCTTCCGGGAGTTGACATCTGCCTGTAATTCTGCATTCTGCATGCGCAGTTTCTCGCATTCCGCGGTTAGGTTGGTTGCCTGGTTCTTGTAGCGTTCTTGTTCTTCCTCAGCTCTCTTGAGTAAAGTTGATAGACGAGAGTTCTCGGCAGAGAGTCGACAGTTCTTCTGGTCTTGGTCCTTAACCCTCGCTAATTCCTTTTGCAGCCGAGCACAAGTCGCTTGACTCTCCACTAATTCCTTCTTCAATCGTGCATTTCGGTTGAGATGCCGACGAAGCAGCACAGAAAGAGCGTCTTCACAATCCTCCTTGACTAGAAGCAACCTTCTACACTCATCAATTTCTTTCTGCAGTTCTTTCAAGTCTTGAATGATCTCTTCCCGTTGCCCTTCGTGCGTCCCGCTGATACTCTCGACACATCCAAGGATATCCTCCCAGTTAGCCACAACCTCATCTACCTGGTGAGTATGCCACTTGCACAATCCCAGTCGAGCAATGGACCGAAGTTCCCTGTTGGTCACATACTGCGGTGGTGTCCTGGACAAAGTATCTAGGATGGAGAGAATGTCCCTATACCTAGCAGGCGGGAGATCACACCGACATCGACCGCGAAGTCCACTGGGGGAGTGGGGACGCGCCAGACCGACGCATAACATGCCTCGGCCTGAGGGGTCGGTGATTTGGAGAATAGCATCGGGATCCCAAACGGCGGTCGACATATTGTACGCTTATGTTGTTGATTCAGTATGCAAGAGAGAATGTGGGATGATGATGAGGGGTTTTTATGATGCTGCGCCGCATTCCTGACCCTGGTCATCTTGGCTAATAATAGCACCACATGTTGGTGTTGTACTTTGTGCATGTATCATGTCCCAATAACTGAAAGCACCAATGATTGATCTAAATGTTTCTTCCGATCTATCCCTACCACCGCATGTCCTATCCTGGGAGACTGCGCTGGACCCCTCGATGAGATACCTGGAGATCACCGATCTACAGGGGAAAGCAAAAGGTAGAAACGACAAACGAAGAATAAGAATGATAAAAAGTGTCATTCATCTCTTAGTAGGCTTCTAGGTTCGACATCCTTGAGAGGCTGACGCCAGATACTTTGTCACGGTTCGGTGAAAGAACTCTACCTGGCGGCCATAGCAATCAAGGCCGTAGCTATCTTCTGCAACATACTCAGGACTGTCTCAATATCGTTGTAATCTCGAAGAGGCACTGGCTTCAAGCACTTCGACGTCTCTGGGCCGTATAAACGTGATAATGAAAATCTACGGCTGTCATACCAGAGATATTGAGACTTAAGTATCCAAGGCTGAAGGTATGCTGCGAAGTCGGCCTGGAAGGGTCCATAACTCATCATTGGAGCCTTGCCGCAGTTGGGCTGCAGTGCTTTATATGCGTCTCAGACAAGAGGAATTGATGCATCATCACGCTTCACTACAATTAATCCAAACCTGCTTCAACCAGCCCTGGCCTCTTCTTATGCTTTCTCGGAACAAACAAGCTACCGCAATGACTACCACGATTAATCTACCCTACTATGCGCTTGATCCGCCTTGCCGGCTTCCGATATCGCCGAGCAATTAAGTTATGACTCCAAGAGATATAAATTAAGACGTCTCAGTGTTTGGCGATCACTTATAGAAATGTATTTGGGATCTACCAAACACCAGCAGAGGCAAGTTATATCCTATGTGATACATCAACTACTCTTCTTAGTTCCTGCAGTAAAATGGAGGAATACTCCGTACAGAGTAAACGACAGCAGCCTATGCAAGGCTAAGATCCACATACTATTACATGGGAGATAGTCTACTGATCGTCTTTTAGGCACTGATTGCCGTCGCTCCATGTCGTGTCAAAGTTTGTATCATGCATTGCTTCGTCATCTCACATAGGCAAAAACTCCTTTTTTCCTCTCTGCTAATCCTGAATGGCCGGACTTTGGCACGGATTCCCCAAGCCTTTTGATCCCTGCCCAAAAAGTATTGTGGCCATGGGGCAAACATATAGATGGATTCGTAGGACAGATGTGACTTGCTGGTTCTCTGATCCATCATTAGCAGGCTGCACCTTGGATATGCTGTCAGGTAGTAGGTGGTAAAAATCTGCAGTTATAATTCATTCTACATGTTTCCTCCTGTTATCACCTTAAGCGTTATTATTCTGACTATTTTCTAAATGCAGGCACGGACATCACACATTAGGTGAAATGCAATGGGCTTTTCCGATGCCCTCAAGACTAGAGAGCTTCCTGCTAGAAGCACAGAACTAAGATTACTGGAGAGTCTTCTATTCAGATTAGAAAATAGCAAATCCTAAGGTCTTTACCTTAAGAACAGCGAGGCTGGTAAGACTTACCGCAATGTGGGTATCCGCTGGCTCTGTGAGCGAGATATCCTCGACGCCATCCACGCTGCAGTTACTGTCACCATTCCCACACGGGTTCCAGACTTCGGGATAACTAGCAGGAACCATTTCAACGGCGGACTTGAGTATACAGAACCGTCTGCAGCGGCTGGAAACGACCATCTCTTATTAAGGGACATCCTCCTCAGTCGGTACTCGGCCCTGCAGACCTCAGACACTGACCAGGCTGCTAGGGACTAAAAGATAGACTACAAGAATTCCTCTCCTCCGTTGCTGCCAACCCCGCATCCCTGATAAGAGCGAAGCTTCGACTGTCTTACGAGGCAGATTGCCAAGAGAGTTGGCTCTCTGTTGCTGCACGCAGATCAGGACCTGGATGCCACTAAATCCCTTGCAGCGTTGGGCATTGACTCACTGGGAAAATTGAGATCATGAATTGGTGGAATCAAGCCTCGGTTTGGATATCAGCGTCTTTGAAACTGCGGTCGCTGAGACAATTGCGAAACTGGCGCAGATTGCTTTAGACGGTCTACGTGCCAAATTTGCCAAATAGGCACAGGCTTGAGATCAGAGTCATATTAGCGCGACTTCAATGGTTTCTTCTGGGTTCTCTCGTTTACGGATATCAGTCCGTTCGAATGCCATATTTTGGACTTCATGATTATCTGCTGCAATGAACAATATGAGTACGAAAATGTGGCTGAGCTAGTCTACTCGCCAGGCCATCCTTAGTATATTAGAATCGTCCGGAACACAAGATTATTATGAATACGAGGGTGTACCATGATTTTTCAGGATAGGTCGTATTCGCGAATCCTCCCCTAACGATATCCACATAACGTTATACTCCAACCTTAACCGGAAGCATAACGATGTCATTCCATCAGTTGTCCACAATATAAATACACACTTTCGGCTTCTACTCTGGTCTTCAACTACAGACTCAAGAACAAGATCATTACCCAAATACCTAGAAACCATCATGCCTTCCGGATTCGCTAGCAACAACCTGTATTGGGAGACAGAGGCACCCCTGGAAAAGGGCAACCCCACCATTCTTTTCATCCATGCTTCATGGATGTCGTCGGCCATGTGGGAAGAGACTGTCCAGCTTCTCGCACCACAGTTACCAAATGTCAACCTCCTCCGCGTTGACTTGAACGGCCACGGAAAAACAACTGCCGGCCGCAAGGAATATACTCTCTGGAACCAAGCCGAGGATGTCCTCACTCTCTTGGTATGAATGATTCATACAACCTATACAGCCATAGCACAGCTAATATCCCGCAGGCAGAGCTTGAACTGTCCAACGTACTGATCGCCGCCATCTCCATGGGCTCGATGATCGCTCTCCGCCTGGCTCTACTCGACCAAGCTAGATTCTCAGGCCTCATCCTCCTCGCCTCCAACGCATCAGCTGCGACCGACTCTCAGCGTGATGCCTTCTATCAGCTTTGTAATATCTGGATTGCAACACCTGCTCCCAGCAAGCAGATCATGGACGCCGCTATCCTCAGCTGGGGCGGGAATCCTGATGTCGAGGGCCCGCGTGCGGCTCAAATAAAGCAGGACTGGGTTCAACGCCACTCGGGCGCTGAGAATGTGGAGCCTACACTGAACTCAATGATGGAGAGGGATGCGCTGCTTGATCGACTGGGGGAGATTCGTGTTCCAGTTCTTCTCATTCATGGGGAAGATGACAAGACATATCCTCTGCAGGATGCTGTGGAGATTAAGGAACGGCTTGTTAACGCGGATGTGCGCTTGGAGGTTGTCAATGGCGAGGGTCATCTGTTGATTCACTTGAGGGAGGCCAGGGATGTGGCTGAATGGATTCAGGGTTTCGTGCAGATGGTCCTTGGATGATCAGATGGGTTGATATCCTGAATGTAGTTCTGTGATCTTAATGATATAAATGACAACTGCCATTAGCTTCTCCAGCTCTGGGTATACAAACCGCGATCGAGATCATCCATTGATATTCGGGATCTCTTTCGTACCTGAAACCAAAGCGAACTTCAACTAAGCGCTATCACGCTATCACATCATCTAGCTATAGACTTCACCAATACAGCACCGTGTCACCACGCAAAAACTTCCCAACATCAGCATCTCGCTTCCCCTCAATTATACCCAAAATCATCTCCGCTGGAACCATCGGATCCCCCGCCCTTCCTCCCGCAGACACATCTTCCTCACCCTTCCCTCTCAGATTCGACCTCACCAACCCCGGACACACAGCAAATACCCTAATCCCCTTGGGACCAAACTGCTTATGCTGCTGTACAACCAACATATCCAGCGCAGCCTTGCTCATCCGATACGCCACGCCATCATAATAGTGCACCGAAGAGGAGGGATCAGCCGCCTCGGACAACGAACCCAGAATACTCGAGATGAAAATCGAGTACGGACGAGCCGACTTCATCAGTAGAGGATTGAAGGCCTCGGACACCAGTGCAGGCCCGATAGAGTTGACAGCGAAGGTCTCCTCCATTGCCGATTTGGTTGATTGGGACTGTGAGAAGACACCCGCATTATTGATCAGGACGTCGAGACGGCCAAACTGCGCTTCGATTTGCTTTGCGGCGGATGCAATCGAGGTAGGGTCCGTGACATCTAGTTGCACGCTAGACAGAGAGCCCTTTATGGCCTCCGAGGACTGAATTGCTTGGACTGCATTCTGGCCATTTTCAAGAGAGCGGCTGCTGATGATGACGTGGTAGTCTGGCGAGGCTGACACGATGGTTTTGGCTATTGCGAAGCCGATGCCCGAGTTTGCGCCTGCTGTGATCAGTCTAGGCTCGAAGGCAGTTATGTTTATCATCTTTACCTGTAATGAGCACGACAGTGGACGGTGTATTAGTCATTATTGTTGACAGCGATGGAGGTTCGCTCAATGACGCGGGTAATGTGGCGAGTGATAAAGAAATGTCTTGTTATTCATGCCTTGATGCATTATATGGGTCGTGAGCTAGTGTAGTGATACGCGGAGATGGATATCCAGGTTCCGTAAATACGCCTAAACTCCGTCTAAACCCCAGGACATGTTGCTCCTGGTGCCTAAATTGCATTGAGTCGAAGTGAGTATCACATGAAATAATAAGCATACAGTCTCTGGGACCAGAGGATCGAGATTGATGACGCTCCGAATATTTACCTGGTTGGATGACTGTCTGATGCCGCGCGGTTGAATCATCTGATGCTTCTCACATACAATGCAACAGAAAATATGAAACCCTTCACTCCATGAACCTGTCTGTAAAGATGACATATCTCTTGCTTCACCCTTTGTTCCCGTTTTAATAAGTGGTGACCTGTTCTTGGGAAACAACTAGACAGCTATATATATATTGACGGCTATAGATACCCCAAGACAAGTTGCTGAATGCCACGGCCATACCAGGCTGAAGGTGGAAAGTATCAACACGTACAGAAGAATACGCGAGGTTCTCCTGTCCGAAGTTTGTGCAATTTTAGCATTAGCAGATACTGGCCCTGCATAAGGTAGGTAGCATGTAACAATTGAGATGAGCAAAAAAAAACACCCAAGATGTCCTTTTAAATGGCCATATATCATAAAGTTTGCCACCTATCACAAGTCAGCGTTAGTGGTGTAGCGGTTAGCATTATTGCCTTCCAAGCAATAGATCTGGGTTCGACTCCCAGCTAACGCATTATCTTTTTTGTCGCTTCTCTATTTTCGTGGCGATTGACTTTGAACTGCTACGCGTTTCTAATTTTCTTAAATTATGGAAACGAGCTTCCACAAATACAACAACCAGGCGTATATGCGACCGGACATTTTGCGAAGAGACCACTCTATCCAGTCTATCGTTCGGACCGGTGCCTCCACAAGAAGAGTCCACAAGGAAGAAATGCGCAGAAAATCACCTCTTGGTCTGAGTTATGACTGCCTTCCCATCCGCAGCTCTTCAAGACTCTTCTTCTGTCTACCACTTTCATCAAAGTTGCTCTCCTGCAGCCACTCCTCCATAGCCCCCTTGACACCCCCTTCCCATTCATCACGCAGCATCGAGAACCACGCCGTATCTCTATTCCTCCCTTTGACCACCATATGCTGCCGAAAGATCCCCTCAAAGGTAAACCCCAATCTCAGCGCAGCCCGTCTGGAAGGCGCATTCAGCGCATTACACTTCCACTCAACGCGGCGGAACCCCAAATCTTCAATCGCGTACTTGAGGGCAAGGTAAAACGCCTCGGTAGCGACTGTCGTCCGCTGTAATGTTGGAGAAAACAGTACATTCCCAATCTCAATGCTGAGATGCTGAGGGACGATGTTCATTAACGAAAGATAGCCCACAGCATGTCCTTTTATGGGGTCGGGGTTCTGGCGGAGGTCTATGACTGCGAAATAGAACGGATCCGAAGACCTCGATTTGGCTGCGATGGCTTCTTGGAAAGTTATGGAGTCGCTGAATGGACCATCGGGCATGTAGTCCCAGAGAGCGGATTTTCTCGCATCGTCCCCACCGATTAGAGGGAATAGCTGAGCGGCGTGGTCTGAGTTCAGTTTGGTCAGAGCAACCGTGCCGCAGGTGAGGGTATCCTCAGAGGGTAGTTGGGCCGGAGGCAATGCGACGACTGGACCCAGGGGCCGATTAGACATGATTGTTGTGATGATATGTGTTCTGATAAGGTTTCTGGGCTGTGAATTTAGCAATTGACTTCGATAGAATTTATGAGTCATGCAGAAGCCTACTAATCCCAATTAGTGGATGGTGATATGGCAGTACACGAATTATGTCGCAGAATAGCATTAATAGGTGTTCACTTCTTCCATTTATCATGGAACTGCAGTAATAACCATTTAAGGGATGTTTCGGAAGGGGCAGATCCGGTATAGAAAAATGAAGGCTGCATCAGCACTATTGCGACTAGTTATACTGACATGGCTAAATCAAGATTGACACTGCATTCCACTCTGGGCTCAGCACCTCGTACTCGATGGTTTCCCAATCATCCGTTGCCTGTCCGTAACGTTTGAATTCTTCTTGGCTTTCAGCGAGTGCGGTATAGAACTTTCCGGTCGCTACTGCGATGGCCTGGTCCTTCTCTGTCGTTTTGTTGTGATACACGCGAAACTTAGATGCAGCGTAGACAATCAGACTTTCTTTATTACCCGGCTTGAAGCTGAGTAGGTACGGTATATGTGACGAAAGAAGCCATTCCCGAGGGTGGTTCATAGGCAGCGCCTCAACAAGCTCTTTCTCGGTGTAGCCAAGGAGGGCCTGTAGAGAGGTTGGAGGCTCGGCGTACAGGCAGGGAGGTTTGTTGACCACAAATGACTGGTAATAATTTTGTAGATAATTGACAGCCGTATGCTGGGGGGATGCGATGTGGATACACATGGTCACACAGTCAACCAGCTCTTCAAACGTGCTGATGGTCGGGAACGAGGGCAAACCGGCACCATCGGGACTGCGCATCTCGTTAGACCAGGACTGAATGCATTGGTCATTCAGGATTTTCTCGTTGGCATTAGTTCCGGGGTAGAGTAGAGCAAACATGTCTTGCACGTATGTCCTGATCTTATGCCACATGCTGTTGATACATCTGGCGTAGGCGTAGTTGTGAAACTTGGGACCGTCGAGTTCCTCAGGAGGGAACCCGCGCTGGCGAAGATCTGTCGGTACGTAGCGTCCCTTGAAGTCAAAGTTCTTGTACGCGTGCCGGATAAATGCAAAGCCTTCACTTGCCTGAAGCCCGATTAAATCGACAATGACATGGGGAACCAGAGTGTTTCGGGCAGCCGCATTGAGTGCCAGGGTCTTTTGCCAATGCGGATAGAGCAACAGCATCACCGGGTGGTCTGGGTCGAGTTGTCGGTGCGAGGCAACAATAATGGCCTCTTCAATCATATGGGTGTTCGTAAGGTGCACGGTGACTTCATGCCGAAGCCAGTCGCTACACTGTACACAGGTCTTGGCATATCTCCAAGGCCAGTCATGAGCCTCGTCGGTTATCTTCTGTTTCTGGTCCTGCTTTTCGCTTCCTGACCGGAGATCCTTCCGCTTGATCAATTCCCGGTTGTAGATGGTCACAGATGTCTCAGCACTGCCCCGCCAGTCGATGACAATAGCCAGAGGGTAAAGCTGGCCTTTGTCATTGAGATAAAAGAGACACACCGAAGCACAACCATAGCGGTAGCTTTTTTTGCCTGCTTCATCAAACTCGCATTTGATGACAGCAGTCGGGTCCAGCCCAGCAGCCTCGCGGAAGTAGCTGTAATCCTGCATGTACAAAGACCCTCGGCAGCTGTTACGGAGATCGGTGATAATCTCCTTAGCCGGGGCGTCCTCTGGTGCTTCTGCGGCTGTGATAAAGTGCTCTAACCAACGATCTGAAGCCCGTTCAATTGTTGTAGGATTCGTGCCTGTAAAGTGCTGCTGGGCAAACCGGGCATCGCTGTACCAATCTGCCAAATCGCCCACGTTGGGGAGGTCGAATATATCTTTACCGAAATACCATCCGCGAGCCCTCCTGTTATAATTCTCCACATCTTCGAGCTTTTCTCCTGCGTCTGGTCTGCCCATGGAGCCAAACCAACCTCTTGCAGTCAACCTAGCAACCCCTCTTTTAAATCTACTTGGCACAATGCTAGGTAAGAGAGAGCTTAGCTGCCAAAGGCGCATCTTGTCAAAAATCTCGGACGGTTGAAGTGTGGATCTCTGGTTGCTTTTGTCCTTTTTCGCTGCTTCCACATTGCCGGCAAGGTTAAGATGGGGCGGGTAACCGTCTGAGCCATCTGTGAATGCAAAGAATTTGCGTTTCTGGTCCTTGGTCAGGGGCGATGGAACCAAAGGCTCGAAATTGGCTACATCCATGAAGGAACTAAAGCTGTCGAGGATGTTAGCCATCTCGGAGGAAGGGAAATGGTCCGATACAAGTACCGCTGTTCTATAAGGTTATAAATCTTAGTGAGCGCCAGTTGCGTCCCCCGATATGTTCCTTTCTCAATCGGAGGGGGTTTTTCATAGGTTTTCGTTTGCATAATCTCCGGGTTTTGCTCGAGGACTTTGACCTTCCCCGGCAAAAGTTTAATATTGGACAATTCATTGATCAAAACGCCGGTGTCAATGTCGCTGACAGCTAGATCTTCGGGGTTCCTCGGCCATTTCTCCTGAACCTCAGGATAGCCAAGCACGACACCAGGAGTCAGTGCAATAGTATTTTGAGGCATAGCTGCGGAACGGAGTCGTATATCGCTAGATTCTTAGATGGAATGATGGTTGCATAAGATTATGTGGTGCATGGGATTGAAAAGATTTAAATATTCCAAGCCTCGATTCCTTAATCTGACTGCTACCTCTCGATATAATGATTCATGACGTTGGTCGAGAATCAACATCAACGTCCATGTAACATACTACTCCGTACGTTTGCGGCCGTATCTTAGATCAACCGGTTCAGTTAGGGTTGACAGAGAATCCAAATGCACATCCCGGGGCCGTACTTTCGTAGTGGATGGTCCAAAAAGATTCGGAAGTTTGGATCTTAACCGTAACAAGCAATCAAGGGATGCTAGCTGTCGTGGGTAGGAACGGGGTTACCCGACGCCTTTTCCTTACAGTTTAAAGCTGTGGTTACAGCGGCCAATCGGACTGTTCCGAAGGAGCAAAGAATGGGAGTTGCTGGTATAGGTGACGTATAGTATAAGATGCAATTACTATTTGCAAGGCCTCATTCTTCCGGGAGGTCGGCTCTGGGAGGAATATGTTATCGTATAGCTTCATTCTGTTCATGATCGACTTTGATGCAGCCCTCTGCACAATTTTTCTCTAAAAGCAAGCTAGCTATTCTATAACCCTGCCATAGCTTTCTAATTTCACAACTTCTCCATCGACGCCTTGTTTTAAACTCGAATGAATATGTGTTACCGGGAAAGATTCTGACCTCTGATCATAGAGTTAGGAACAAAAGGGGTATCTCTGCACTTTATCTTCTGAGAATTAATTACCTTGGCCGATATCATCACTGCTTGAAATTTATGTGTCTACTACTTCTATCTCAGTAACCATCGTCAATGATATGCTCCCTACACGGTTGGTACGTAAGTATTGGGGAGCTCGGCTTCATAGGCAACATAGAATCGTCAGATCAACCGATCCCGACCTTCAGAGCCTGCACCGTTGCGTGTCATTTTGGCGTTACAGTTTGTCAGGTTTTATCCCGGCAAGCGTCGCATCATGATTCAGTGGATCTAGACTGGTTGTGCGTTGGATATGGGTTTGATGCAACCCATGCGGATTATGGGTTGATCCACACCTACCCGGAGTACAACCCTGGGTCGTCTACTGAACCATGTCCGCAGATGAGTGATTTAGGAGGCTTTACCTTATTCTTATCTTTTCTTAGCCAGGAGGACCTCTGACATCTTAGTTAACCTAAATATGTATATCATCCACGATGCCCAGTTTAACCCTTGTAAAGAAATCCAAGAAGTCCTTATATGGGGGGGCATTCCACTGGCATCCCATGGAACCTATCCAGGATGATCTGATAAGAGCAATGTATATAATTTCCTATGGGTATCTGGCATATTCCGAGTGCCGGGCGATATATGCAAAAGCACCGAGGCCAGACTGCAGCATATAGACATACGACGCACTCTATTCAGGGGGTACTTGAGAGACACTCTCTCGAGGCTGCTTGACCTGAGCCTTATCCGACTCTTTCCGCTTCAATTTCCAATGCGCATCGGCCTTCTTCTTCCATTCCCTCTGGGACACTGCCCACTCCTGGAATTTGCCGGGATGCCGAACACACCAGAGAACCACCTCCCTAGTCGCCATTGTATCCTCCAAGCAATTGTGTCCTCTCCGTGACTGCTGAATATCGCGATCGAGCATCTGCTTGCACAGTCGCTTCAACCCCCAGTTTTGCTTGCAGTCTTTCGCTACTGCCTCCCGAGAGAGGATAGCCGTGTCAATGATGTTCAAATGTACCATACGCATGATATCTAGGTCGTGCTGGAGCGACTGGCCCACGAGGATGGTGTCCGGATCGATGTGCGCCCATAGGGCTTTGCGAGCTTCTTCCCATCCGTTGACAGTCTTTCCAGCCTCTTTCATCTCCTCGAGAAGTTTCTGCGACATCCCGCTCCAAGGAGTCCGCCAGTCCGTTACCATCTTGGACGGGACCACGTATATGTCAACAATAACTTCACCGGCCAGGATATCGACGGCGCAGATCTGCGCTACTTCCGCACATCCTCCTTCAACCTCGACCATCTCACAATCGAGTGCGACCGCGCGCCGAGGTGGACGAAGCCCTGACATAGGACTCGGTGTTAATTGATAGCTCTGCCAGTTCTCCAGGATAAAATCTTGAACAGGTGCGTAAACATGAGCCGGCAGTGAGGCGCATGCTTGTTTCTTTCCACAACATGGATACTTGTATTGTTTCTTCTGGTGTTTGAGTTTCATTGGGTGGTAGAAACAAGCTGTTTTTGATTTCGTATCTAGAACTCGCTTGCGCTCTACAACAGTTCTCAGTATATTTCATTCCATCAGAGGTGGATATATACGCACCTCCGCAGTTCATACACTTTGCATATCCTTCCATGTCCTCTTGGGTCATTTCGCGGACCTTGTAGCCGGATCTGGCGAGAGTATTTAGATTATGGCATACGTTTTTCAGGCAAGCGATGACAGCCTCGTGCAATGGTCCAGGGACATCTGACCACTCATGCACCACGGGCTCTTTCTGCTCGGAAGCTTCTTTTTTTGATGAGCTTTCCAGGGGTCCAGTCGCTGGCCCGGCATATCGCCGGCCGCGTCTTGGTGCCTGGGCTGCCTGGGCTCTATGCTGGGTCGCATGCTGCTCCTTTCCCTCGGTAGTCATGTCTACCTGATCCCCTGGTTTCCGAATATTGCTAACAGGTGCCGCGAAACTTTCCTTTGGACGGAAGGCCAGCTCAACGCGTGGTACCGGTTGATCCATCTTGCGATTAGATGCTCAACAGGAGAATGGGCTCGGAAATCTTATTTCAACCGCGAAAGCAAGTTGTGTATGCGCGCTCAGCTGGTACAGTCGATCAGATATACTTGTTGATGCCGTGTCCAGTGTATTTAAGCTCAATATCTGAATATTTAACTGTAAGAGATTTGACGACTCGGCCTCCCTTCTGGTTTAGCCTCCGCTGTGATGGAAGACTGAGTCAGAAACGGGTTATATATGACTCATATGACTTGCACAGGAAGCTCGATCTCATCTAAACTCATTTCCGATGATCCAGAGGTACAGATTAGCTTCCATCTAATTCTGATCACCACTGATCACCACTGCGCGAGTCGATAAAGGTAGCAGAGCGACTCCCGAGGGGCACGGATGCCTTGCTGACCCCGCAGCTGAATCCAGGGGGTTATACCTGGTGTCTGTAAGATTGTGTCTTAAAGCAAGGGTTATCAAATTCTTTCAAATTCTCTGTCATTGAACAAGAATGCTGATGGCGAAGGTACTAGTATTTTGCTACAGAAAATACCATGGAAAGAGATGTGAAATCGAAGCTCGATCAATGGCGTGCCGGACCGAGGGGTTCGTAGAGGTAGGACTAGACTAAGGTACCTTAGCTGACCCAATCTGCAAATCCATACCTTGTCCAACGAACGGTGGATCCGGGTTAACCCGCATGGATACGCCTAGATGACCCAGATTTGAGGGTGGGTTATATGGGTTAGACAGGTGGTAATCAACCCATATCCAATCCACCAGAAACTTATACCTGTGATTTGTTACGCAGCCTCAACGAATGAAAGCCCTGACAAAGAAGCAAACATAGGAGGACCTGGGTGTTTCAGCTGACCCTCAAATACATAAGAATCAGCTTGGTCAAATTTAAATGCCTTCATACCCACAGCCCAGCTAGATGTTGCCTCGTCCTTCATTTCAAATGATATCGTTATTTGTCCCAAGCTCCTAGCTATTACCGTTGCCCACCATGGTTAACGTCTTTACCACGACTGTCGGCACATTTAGAAGGCTTTTCCACCTCTTAAAAGCCCTTAATTCTCTCCTCTTTTTTGTCATTTGGCTCACCATCCGTGACCTCTACTACGTCGTGTGTATTCCGCTCCGTTTATGCCAGTCTCTGAATCCTAACCTCGACGACACCATGTACAGATTGCAAACCTATCTCTCCCCCGCCGTAAGGTTGAAAGCGTTGTGCTTTCCGACCAGCCAGGTCATGGTGGCGTCTGGCCGCAATTTCAGGCGCCCATTCAGGCCACTGACTCTCGTTCGCCCTGTCCAGCGTATGTTTCCTTATCCTTTTCACAACGTTATACTAACACACCCAAGGCTCAACGCTCTTGCCAACCACGGTATGTGAGACTGTATAATGTGCTTCCACATGCCTGTCCTTCGCTGATCTGACACGGCGCAGACATCTTGCCCCGCAGTGGTAAACACATCAGCTACAAGCAAATGTCGCATACCATCCAACATGCGTATAACCTTGCACCGTCGCTCGCCGACCAGCTCACTGCCTCAGCCTATCAGCTCGACCAAGGGCGGAGCTGGATTGACCTGCAGGACCTCAGCGCTCTGAACGTTAGTCATCAGGATTCCTAACTTACCCATGTAAATCTGACTGCGCACTGACCCCTCGTCTCAGGTCATCCAGCACGATGCCTCATTTACGCGTATGTTGCTTATCAGTACTTCCAACCGGCCGTGGTGTGCTGACGCGAGAAATATACAGGTCCTGACATCGCCTTCTGTCCTGACCAGGGCGTCCCGCACCCGGATCTAGTAGACAGATTCCTCTCCCACGCATCGAATGGCAAATCCCTCTCGCTCGACGACATAGTCTACTTCTCTGGTGTCCGACGCGCAGAGTGCAAACGTACCAACGGCCAATACTCTATGACGTGGAGCTTCCTGCACCAGTTCTTTGGTAGGTTTCCCTTTTTCCTTTTCAGCTAAAGCGTTGATTTCTCACCGGTGCATGCTTTATGTCCAGGCTCCGGAAACAACGCGCTCATGTATTCGATTTTTGGCGGTGATGTGGAAGATCTCCGGGTTTGGCTTAGTGAGGAGCGCTTTCCGGACCAGTGGGAGCCGAGAAATAGAGAGGCGCGAGGGCATACCATAATGGTAAGTTGTCAGTCTTTCTTGACGATGTATTCTAGCGTGTTGACTGGCGGTGCATAGCAAGCGGTGAGCAAGACGCTCATAATCGAGCTTAACATCAATGAAAAGCAGAAGCTCCGGTCTGAGAACACGGCCTTGAATGAGACCAGGGAGCCGTAGGCTCTGGCTGGCCGCCCTGTTTATGTTAACCTGTAGTTTTCTATCTATGGCGATAGTGCTTTTGGAATTAAAAGAGGGCCGCATATATAGAAGTTTCGCTGAAAGTTTGAGCAAGGGCTTGCGGGCTGGCAGGACCTTTGCAGGAGAGAAAAAGGGAAAGTACACATGTACCAGCAGATATTGTAAGTAATGTTTTCTATCACACCTACTCTAATTATTACAGCAGAAATCGGTCATAGGCAGGATATATCTGACAGGGAAAGGCGTCTAATATTCTACTGCTATATCCTGTAATTTTTTGACTTGTTATCCACGGATTTTATTATAGGTTCTTCTACTGCGAGTCTCTTTTGTAATACGTAAGATTCGCGAATGTTTAGTATAGGAGCCATTCTGAATTTAGAGAGCGTAACATAGGAGCTAACTCAGGATAGGCCGAAGGAATATGGTATAAAAGAATGTTGCAGCAACTGCATGACCTGCCATCAGCTTCAAAAATTAGTAGCCTCGAATGAAATAGACCTCAGGCCATCTCCATCGCATACAGATAAGCAGCAAATAGAGTGGTTACCAGGTCTTTCCATGCACCTACGAAATGAACTCAGATTATCCAGGATACATGAGACCGAAAGACGTACTACACATGTACAAACAATAAAAGGAGAGACCTTAAGCTAAGGAAACCATATAATCCAGGACAGTCAACGACGCTTGGAACGTCGGTTCAAAGGATCACACATGCCCACCCCAAAGCTTCTTCTGGGCCAGAGAAGGGTTCATCAGGAAAAATGAAGTCTTCAAAGAAAATGTTCTCTGAGGCATCGTCGACAAAGGAATCGAATACAGGCGGCGAGGACGGGGAGGACGACGACATGTACATTCTGGCGGCCATGTACAAGAGACGGATCCAGGGTTTGATGTCCCCCCAAGCATATAAGAATTGCTCAGCCCATGCTGCTCTTGCAGCGGATTCACCAGATCTATTTGCCCAGTCTCCCTGCTGACGTTCCCCTTGTTGCTCGCTGCGGGCCGAATCACCTCCAGGGGAGGAATCTGCGCTTGTTTCGTCATTGTCTTGGGAATCGTCGGCCGCACGCCCATATTTTAGCCATCTGCCGGCGAGAGTTGTGTCGATGGTAGCCCCATTCGCGATTTCGGTATAAATCTGAAGCTTGAGGCTGGTGGGTGCTGGTAGAGCGCCGTGATTGCATCCCGAGCGAGGACCCGACGCCTCTCGGCCTGCCTCTCGATATGCAATGTTTTGTAATTCCCTCCCTCCATTACGAGTCCATGGTGGTAAATGCTCGCTCCATGCTCGAAGAAACGTTGCAGCAGCCCTTCTGCACGCCATTTCTCAACTCTAGCCATCTTGGTTTCGATGCCATCCGCGTCCAAGCCGTCCCATCTGGTTGTGACAACCGTGACATTGGGCATGTAGTCCTGGCCACAGAAAAGCCAAAGCCAGGTGAGAATCTTTTCTGTTGCAGGCGTGACACGATTCTCCTCCATAGAATCCACATATAGGACACCGCGGAATTTGACGTATCGCTCAACAACGGACATGGCCGTCATGAGCCTATGAAAGACGTCCCAGTCGTCGAAGTCGCGAGTATTAAATCCTGGCATGTCAAGGAACAAGCAGCGCTGATTCCCAATGACCGTTGGCACAAGACTGGTGGTTTTTGTACCTGATATATGTTCAGTGTCTTCATAGGTCCTGCAACAATAGCAACCCTCACCAGATTCAAGTGTCGATCCGATATACACGTCTTCCCCAGTGATTGATTTGATGAAAGACGACTTCCCAACCCCAGCAGGGCCGGTAACGATGAAGAGATCGGCTCCAGTACTATGTCGACTCTGAGTAAACTTGGAACTTGAAGCTCGCCGGATCAGCCATTCAAACTTACTGCGTTTTCAAGAACCTTTCAGCTCCTTCGGTCAACTTGTTGCAAACAAGGTCCGAGAAAATATGCCATCCATTCTTGATCGGCTGCAAAGGGCTTGCGGGAAAAATTGGCATTGTGGTTTGTAGGGTTAGGCCACTGAAGTCCTCAGGTAAACAGACAGAATGTCACAGAGTTAAGGCAATATAGCAGCAGTTCAGATGTTTGTTTGATCCGTAGGTTCTGAATATTCGTCAAAGATGCAACAAAAATATTTCGAAAGACAGAGATATCATCGGGGAATTCATGACCCCTATATAGATAACCCATTCAATGTCTGCCCATGGAAAGCTCCCATCATCGAGAGGTATGTGTATACTATAGAACTTCTACCATATGGAGAAATGTCTGGCAGCCATCACAGCAGGATGGACGAATCACACAAAAGTGCCATGCATCGAACACAGCCGAAGTAGAAAGCACTATCCCTGAATGTAGATTAGCTCAGATGGAAGCGAGCAAAAGTGTGCAGTAGTTCGGTACCTGGTGGACTGGCCAATGGAATGATGCCGGAAGCTTTAGAGACGTTGAGAGGCAGCTCTTTAACAGAAAGTGGGGAAGTATATCGTCTCTTTCAAGGAGCGTGCCACGTCAACAAGGCATATCTGTTCCAGACGCTATGGCCTTATTCCTCCTGTGATAGGTGGCCTAGTGCTCCCATACTGTGTTCATGCTGGTTCAACATAGACCAAATATTTGTTATATCCCTGTCATTCTGCAAGCACCTATCTCTTTATAGTAATGGCTGTGGTATTGATGATTGATCATTGGACACTCGCCCTTTTCCTACAGTGGAGAGAGCTCAAGAACTCTTGAGGTTTGCTGTGGTTCCCCTTTATTTAAAAAGTGGGCCACATTCTGAGACTGGTCCTCTTACATCGATCCCAAACCCGACACATACTGGTTCATTGTAGTCGCTAATCGGAGATCCATCGACAAACTAAGTCATGAGCGAATCTCAACCGGCCCCGCTTTACCGAGACCGTCGCCTTGACATTATTCAGCTTTACTTACTCGAAGGCTTGAAACTCGAGGAAATTAAATCAAAATTTGAGCGCGAACAGTCGCTGTCTGAACCCCGACTAACGTAAGCGATAGGCCAGAGGTGAAGTTTCTCAAGGTACACATGCTTATCAGACTTTCAGAATCGACCAGTGGAAAGCCTTTCTACGAGCCCAGGGGATCTTCAAGAATCTCAGCGAAGAGGAAGTAGTCTTTATCAGAAGCAGGATTGGTCTGGGAGGAACATGGGACTGTTTGGTCCTTGCCAGTGACGTCCTCTTGGACAACATCGAAGTTGAGAAGCGCTACAAGAGGAGGGAACGACATCGCCAGGAGATTGAATCCCCAAATCGCAGAGCTCTAACGTTTATTCCTCTACATTTTGACCTCAAGTCCCTCAGTCAACCAGACACTTTCAAAAACTTCCAGCAACTTTTGTTCAGCACACGGGTCCATTTCGAGACTTCCTTCGACTCTGGCAGATGGGCGGCAGATGACCGAGGCTTGTACGCCAGAAGCGCTGAGCTCCGGGCTGGGTTGGCAGCGCTCAGCAAACTCTACAACATGATTTACCATGCTTTGGGGCAATTCAGGATAGGCAGAAATAATAGGTCGGGAGCACTGATACGAACAGCATTTCTAAACCTCAAAGCCGTAGTGCAGAATCACCACCATCGCCAATTCCCGGATATTCTTGCTATCCTGCGCCTGCTTCAGCGGGATGGGCACGTTAAAATTCAGCAATTACTGACAGAATATCTTGTCCACTGGGCAAGACTAGTCTTGTCTCGGAATGAGCCTCGCAGAATGATGTTTGAAGCCCTGCAGAAATTACCCATGGACTCAGACGGTCATTTATATCTTGCATTTGATGCCTACTGTCGACATTTGTGGATGTCGAAGGTCGCACAAGACGAATTCAAGGCTCATTATTCTTACAATCAAGCCAGCTTCCCGCGAGCCGATCCAGGTGGTTTCTATGACTTCTATCGAGGGAAGAGTTTGAATGATATCACAGCGACACTCGAAAGTGCCGATAGGGATTTAGGCCTGTATAGCCACGAGACGTTTTGTGTATGGCACACCGCTATCCGGTACCTCTGGGAGGAAGAAAGGTACAGAGATATGGCAGGTCTCTGTCAAAGACTGTGCTGGCGTCTTGAGCTACTCGGAGATGGATACGATTATAGTCAGCAACTACAATTGAACCTCGATGCTTCGCTGACCTTTTATTTGCTCGGAGAGGCACAGGCGGCGCAGGGAAACCTGCGTGATGCTAGGACAGCCTTTGAGGCGTCAGTCATGTTGCGAAGTCGGCTTGTCCCCAGTGATTTTGACACTGGAAAAGTCGCTGCATTGGGAAAGCTCGAGTCAGTTGTTACAAGGCTAGGGGATGTGCTCGCAGCAAACCACTTCAGGGGACTGGTGAACACAATATACTCCGCCGTGGAATCCAGAGATATGGAGGAGCGGGCAACAGACGCTACAGTGGTTGAAATTCGGACATGACTGCCATTCTGAATGCTATTGCAATAGGCAACATTGACTTTGCTCGATTGAAGACGTGACATCGACATACTGCACTACGCTAAGTCACTACGTACCTCTTCCCCTCTATAGTACATATGGATCTTCCGAATGTTTGACGGAAGGATGCAAGTTAATTCTATGCTTCTCTTGATAATCCACCCAATACTTGAAATATGACAGGCTCAATCCTCCTCCTCGGGGGGATCATAAATCTCCCCAGCCGGCGTCTTCTCCAACCTCACCCCATCCTCAGTAACAATCTCCTTACTCGGCACCACAACAGCAAATAACCTCGCCAACGTATCCCCCCGGTTAACCCACTCGTGATTCACTCCCCGAACAACAATCACATCATGCTCCTTCAGCACCTTCTCCTCCCCGCCATCCGTCCGGAAACCAACCGTCCCAGACAGCACGACCACATAATCCAAGGACAGCGTCCGATGCATCCACCCCGCTTCCGCAGGAGGGAGATCAATGATCCTGCACGAGGGACCTTTTGTATCGGCAAGCGGGACAAGAGTCCCGTGGGGATCTTTGGTCTGGCGCATGTTGTCGACGGGAAAGCCGCGGGAACGGTGGATTTGGATTACCCCGAAGCCGGAGTTGGGGCCTGGAGCTTCAAAGCGTGGTGCGGTGGTTGGGTCGTAGGGCTGGAGGAGCTCGTCTGAGGCGAAGTAGGCTTTGCCTTTGGGGTCGTGTGCGGTGATGACGCGACGGATGGGAATGGACATGTCTGTGGGCTGGGGTGGGAGAGCTTTTGAATCTGCCATTGTCGGTTTGGGAATCGGGAGGAGGAATTGGATGAAGTAGGACTGTGACTTTGAAAGATGGAGAGAGGGAAAGCAGCCTTTTATATTCAGCTGGATCATGAGCGCTAGCCTGTTTATATAGTTGATCCCCGTGCTGAAAGACGTGCGATGATGATTGGTAAGCTCGGCATTTATAATCGTCGATTTGTAAGCTCCATTTCAGACATCGTAAACACTTGCCTACTTTCAAGCTTGCGAAGCTTCAATAATTGCATTAATCAATTTGATATTGTTATTGTTGGAGCAGAAGAGCTATGACTAAAGAATGTTTGTACATACAAAACAGCGGTGTTGCATGGTTGTACCATATATTTCGATGTCCGCTGCACCTTTGACAAATCAGACGATCGAAATTGTACCATCTACCATCTAGGAAGCACAAACTCTCATTGAGAAAGATTCAGTAAAGAACCTCGTTAATGAAGACCGAAGGGGCACGATCCGACTGCCAGATGTAATTTTTCAAATGAACCTGAACCAACAGCCTGCATCAGACATACAGTCTGGCAGACATGCTCGTTGTATGTCGCTCACAATGTCAAGATTCTACTAATTTCAATGGGCAGAATGCCGGCTGTAGCTCCCCTGAAGGCGGCACCGTAGCTGATGTAGGGAGCTGTTTTGAAATTCCTCAAGGATTCAACCGTAGTCATCGAGATAATACTGGCAGAGAAGGACGCCCCCACACGCGAATACCTTTCTCGGAGACATTTAATTCCTAACTGACAAGGTATCTTCCGCACAGATAGTCCCTGGATTGAAATTTTGATAGGGATATAACATCTGCTCTGAATTAAGGCTTACTGACCTTGACTAAACACAAATATCTTCGCGGGCAAATGTGTGATTCAAGCGGCTGGATCCTTAGCTATTGCACTTCATAATAGCAACAGAGTTCAAACATTATTCTTATGAATCACTAACAACTCATGTCTCCGGAATTCCAGACCATCAGAATCTTTGAACGGAAGGACGTCTGTGGAGTTAATTATATACCTCTATTGAAAGCTTAAGGGCATAATATGCTTATCTTTGAGCCTAAGTTCTATAGCCGCGAGCTAGTAAGAGGCTTTAATTGACTATACTTGCTGACATGGATGAGATACTAATATTGTGTAGCCCTTGTATAATTTGATATTTAAGTAGTAAATCTAGCTCTCACTAAGCCATTATTCAACAATCTCAGATGATATAACTCAATGGTAACAGGTGTACCCTCAAAATAAGCTACTAAAGTATCTGTACTGTTGTCATACCCAGCAGTGCTACATTTATATCACAATGTAATTCTGGTTCCTGTTGTGAGACAGTGAGCTGCAATATGATGATCCTGAAGCTGGCTCAGGCTCTGAGAGCGTAGGGCAAGTTAAGATCAGCGCTGGGCTTGTTATTGTGACATACTGCTATTTGCTTTCCTTCCCCTGAAGGATGGTAATTATCGAGTCATGGCATAAATATATACGGCGTTGAAATGTTATCACAATGCCACAGCATAGGTGTAATCAATCATAAGGACTTAGAGGCCATCCCATGCACAGAGCTGGACATCATCTACCCCTGCAGTACTCTCTGAGGTATTCAACGTTGCAGTGTCCTGTCTCTCGAGAAAGCTAGTTATACAACATGGGTGACACCACAGACCACTCTAGCCTTGACCAGGCATGACAAGGCATGTCAATCAGATAGTGTTGCGTTCATATCAGGTAGAGAGACAGTCATCTCGGCTTGATTAATAGTTATAGAGAGCAAAATTTGGTAATGGCAGTAGAGTTTCACATGGTATTAATGTTTGAGTCACCAAGAGGTCCGAAGATTGCAGGGTTTATGAAGCTGGAATATTGGGATACTCTAATTACTGTACGGCACCCGGTGCTGTGGTATCCCGATGTTTTCCCTCCTATGTTGTTTAGTACTAGCTGCAAACAGAGAGCATATATTGTTAGCGGATACACACAATTCAGAAGCGCCCAGGGCCCTGCTTATGCAGACAGGATCAAATGATCAAGAGTATGATCATATGGTTAGACAGGTAGCCGGACTGTAACCTAAGATCTACAAATCGTCTATAATATACTACCCTACTGTCCTCCAATAACAAGGGTGAGGTGTTCCCAATCGCCTTTCATCTGATTCTCCTTGAGCTTGGTCAATTGCATCTTCAGTAGCAAGTAGCAGCTATAGGTTTGCTCAGTTACTCAGCTTAGCATACTTTTTTTATTCACATGAACTACTGGATCCTCCTTGTGGAAGGGGGATGTAGCATGTGAACAGGTCTACGTAGCACACCTCTCTGCTATTAAACATGCCTTGCTACACAGACTCTCTTCTACTAGTCTCTCCCACAAAAGATTTGCGGACTGTATGGCCGAATTGTGATACTAGTGATTGGAATGGTAGTAGTTAGTGCCGTCTTAGATTCCGAATTGCTGCATGTGCGCAGACTTGTTGTATTAACTTCTATTTAAGTTGTATCTGGGATATCTGACATCTAAACTATATAAGTCTGTGTTATCACCCAACAATACCTTCATCCCAAATACCCAGAGATCTAAGGATATTACAGTCCAGCTATCTGCAGCGGAAGACCTGATCATCTTAAACTTACGAGTTACAGTTCCACAATGAAGCTTTCTACGATTCTCAGTGCGCCTCTCCTCTCCGCTGCTGTCCTTGCAGGACCAGTGGCAGAGGTCCCAGCCAACACCACCGATCCTAATCCCGAGGCGCTTCCAAATCTGGTTGCTCTTTTCTTCACGATCCTGGGAGCACCAGCTTGTGCTGTATGGCATCCCCATCCGACCTGCATGACCGAGGATGACTAATGGTTGTCTACCAGATTGCATGCCTTAATCGCGAAATTGCAAACACTCCAACCTGTTCTGGCATCTTGAATATTGCGTGCTTTTGCGATCCAGCCACAAATTTTGTGACCAGGGTGTTCATGTGCGCTTCCACTGATGCCTGTAGTGCAGCAGATGTTACTAGACTGATAGCAGCCCTTCAACTTGGCTGTAGCTTGGTCGGTGTTCCGATTGGAGGTGGTG